ACATTTCAAACCACGAAAATTACAAAAGAAATGTAATAAAGAAAACAAAAATTTTGGGCGAGTCACATAAATTGGGCCGGCAAATGCGTGCCTGCCAAAAATGATCCAGATTTTATCAACAAAAACTGGTAATTATCTTTATGATACTTTTTATATTCCTGTCACTATGGTATTTTGTCATATTGTATTATAAAATAAATTTTTATTTTCCAGTTGCAAGGGCAAATGTTTATTAAAATAAATTCTCCAGAACTGTTGGATGATGTCCTTCTCATGTTTTATGGACTTAAATCCAAGGATGAACAAGACCTTCACTTGCAAAGAATGATAGAAATTGCACCAATTTCAAGATCAAGAGCTCGTGATGATACACTGGAATGTGATCGGAAACCAAAATCAAAGAATTTCAAATATTTCTTGCTGCTTGGCGCGATACGTACGCAAGTTTGTAAAAACGCATTCATCAATGTTCACAACATTACAAGCAAAAGGGCAAGAAGAATTTCAAATTCGTTAGAAAAAAAATGTTGTGCCTGTAGATGGTCGAGGCAAGAAAAGCAGTGTCAATGCCATGCCCTCTGATATCATACAAAAAATAGATGGGCATATTAAATCTTTTCCAGTTCGCGAATCACACTACACAACACGATCATACTTTTATCTCAGTGCTAATCTAAATATTAAAAAAATGTACAGATTATTTATTGAAAAGTACCCTGACCTGAAAGACAAAGTGCTTTACACATTCTATTGGCAGTATTTCAAAAGAAATTTCTCTCTAACATTCGGTAAACCTGCAAAAGATACTTGCTCAAAGTGTGAAGAATTAAACGCAAAAATTAAAAGTGTTTCTTTGAATGATGTGGCTAAACGAGTTTATTTATTTATTTATTTTATTCTTTATTGCATCCTTAAACAAAAGAATACAAAGGGCGGACTTAATGCCTTGAGGCATTCTCTACCAGTCAACCCATGGAGTGGTGAGAATTTGATGTAGGTGTGGCAATAAGAGAACACTATACAAATGATAATTAACTACATAATATATACAAACTACTAATAAATAAACTATACATATATGATCTATCCTTACATATATACAAATATATAAATAAATGAATATACATACAAGTATATATATATATATATATATATATATATATATATATATATATATATATATTTAAATACATACATAATTAGTATATACAATTAATGACTATGAATATATACGTCTGTTTGGCAATACATATTAAATTGATGAGTCATGTAAAATGCATTGTCTTTAAGAAATGATCACGGACCAACTTTTTAAAAGCGTACTTATTGGGAGCTTTTCTGATGTCATCGGACAAGGAGTTCCAAAGGCGTGTAGCCTGAACTGTGAAGGAGTTACCATAGAACTCGGTGAAGTGAACTGGAGTACAGATTTTGTTGTTAGAAGAAGAGCGTAGGACCCTATCATGAGATGAAGAAAGATAATGAAATTTACTCTTAAGATAAGAAGGCGAAGGTGGATCATTTAATATGGAAAAAAGTACAAGTAATATTCTGGAGTTGCGCCTCTGCCGGATTGTAAGCCAATTTAGCTTAGATCTGTATTGAGAAATATGATCATACTTACGAAGCCCAAAGATAAATCTTATACAGTTATTGAGGAGGCGTTCCAGCTTGTTCAGAAGATCTTGGGACAGGTCTGAGTAACACACATCTGCATAATCAATTATGGGTAATATAAGTGATTGGACAAGCATGATCTTAGATTTTGTGGGAAGAAAATGTTTCAAACGATACAGAGAGCATAACGTGGCAGTGACTTTACGACTCACATCTGAAACCTGAGTTCTCCAATTCAGCGTGCTGTCGATGTGAAGGCCAAGATTTCTAACAGACTTACTGAAAGGAATTGTAGTATTATCATAGTAAATAGGAGGTAAGTCTGTCAGATTAATCTTAGCCAGCATGCTTGAGCTACCCACCAGTATAGCTTGGCATTTCAAAGGATTGACCAAAACTCCATAAGGAGTAGACCAATCCTTGATAGCTGCTAAGTTGCCGTTAAGGTTTTTGATCCCATTATGTATATCCCCAATCTCAGTTTGCACATAAAGCTGAAGGTCATCGGCATATAAATGGTACGAGCAGTCGATGATGGAGGTAATAAAGTTTATAAAAATTGAAAACATTATAGGAGAAAGAATACCGCCTTGCGGCACACCAGCATCCACATCAGCCCAAGCTGAGGACAGTTGCCCCACACTGACTGACTGCTGTCGACCGCGAAGATAAGATGCAAACCAATCCAATTCAGTAGGGCCAAAATTCAGATGAGACAGTATGGAAAGAAGGATTTTGGTGTTGGTGTTGGGTGTTGAAAGCATTTGAGAAATCAACTAGTACCAGTACTGTTATTTTTTTTTCTTCCATGCCTTGTTTAATATTATCAATAACATTAATTAATGCAGTAGTGGTACTATGACCAGGACGAAACCCAGACTGATATATACTCAGTAGGTTATGTTTCGAAATAAAAGTAGAAATTTGCTTGTGAACACAGGATTCTAAAATTTTGGAAAGAAAGGGTAGAATGGATATTGGACGAAAATGATAGGGATGAATGGGAGTAGAAACTTTTGGGAGAGGCTTTACAAAAGCCCTCTTCCAAAGATTAGGATACTGACCTGAATCAAGGGAAAAAGCGAGTTTCAGTCCCAGAACTTTTAGTTCATAAAAATAGAAGTAAAAAATTCTATTCAACTATGGATAACAGTTCCAAATTAGCCAAACAAAATAAAAAAATTGTTGCACTTTGTTTTGATTTTATGGCTGTGCTAGACTTGCCTAAGATACCTGTGCAAGAAGTATATTATTACCGTCAGCTCGGTGTGAACACCTTTGGGGTTTATAATACAGGAAATGACAAGGTAACTTGCTATGTATTTCATGAAGGAATGGCAAGGAAAACACCTGATGATGTCTCTTCATTTCTGTTACATTACTTTAAGAATTTTTTATACCCTGAAGTAGAAGAAGTGCACCTTTGTTGTAACAATTGCTGGGGCCAAAATAAAAACCATGCTCTTATAAGAATGCTGATGAGTTTGATAGAACTTGGTTTATTTAAAAAAATTAAGCTGCATTTTCCTCAACGTTAACGTCAACTCATTTTTGCCATGTGACCGATCATTTGGTCTCATTAAAAGAAAATTAAAAGAATTTGACAGACTTTACACAGTAGAGCAGTATGTGGATGAAGTAACAATGAAGTCTTCCAATATTCAAGATAAGTTCACTGTGTTTCTGGCAGATTCTTCAATTATTTATGATGTCCAAAACTGGTACCCTAACTTTTATCACAAAAATAAAAAATCTGAAGCTCGAGGTGGCTCATCCTCAATTCCATTGACAATATCAAATTACCATTATTTCGAATTTAATGAAAAGGAGCCAAAAGTTGTAAAAACTAAAGAATTTATTGGTGGCCTATTATCACATTATTTTCATTTGAGAAAACCCACAACAATTCCATTACACTTGCCATCAGAAAAACTTTAGCAGAATAAAATACCTCTGTTAGAATGTAAAATGCTTTTAAAAAAAATTAAAAAACTTAAGCCTTACATTCTTTCAACATATAACACTTTTTGGAATTTAACTTTATGAATGGCCAACTGAAAATCGTACAGAAAGGGATAGTGGAGTGCATAATTAATTTGTATACTCATGTAAGTGCACAGCTCAGCTTAAACAATGATATATGTTTAGTAAATAAACATTATTTAAATTATTCTTTGTTTAATTTTCTATAAAATTTTGTATGAAACTATAATGCTTTTTCTGTATAAAGGACTCATGCCAATGGTAACAGCAAAAAGGAAAGTTATTGTTAAATTGCAAAAAGAAAACATGGACAATGTTTTCTTTTCGCAATTTAACAATAAACTAAATTAATTTGAAAAGAAAACTTCATTTATTCTCATAGAAAATACCAATATAAATGTTCCTAAAAATAAAATATGTTTTATTTTTATTAATTATAAAGTAAAATAGTTTTTTGTCTCCCCTGAACATTTTACAAGTAGGGACATGTGTCCTTTTTGTAATTTGCGATTCATATTGGGTGTATGACAAAATATCTTTGATGTTTCTTTATTCACATGAAACGAGAAAGAGTTATGGAACCATTACATATGGAACTGCTAAGCTTTCTAAACGCAACAGTAGTATAATGTTCAAATACTATATATTAAACAAGCAATTCTTGTATATATATATATATATATATATATATATATATAATCGGGATCTCGGAAACGGCTCCAACGATTTTCATAAAATTTAGTGTCCAGGAAGTTCCGGGGATAATAAATCGATCTAGCTAGGATTTATTTTTAGAAAATGTCTTTTTTGTCCGTGTTTTTAGGCAATGAAAAACTGCTACAATATCGTTAGAATAAGAAGGTAAATTTTGACAGATTGTTAATGATTATAAATAGCTTAATTGGTATAATGGGCGGTCACAGAATCGAAAAACCCCGGTTTGAGCCCAGACCGACCGACCGACTTTTTTAAATTTTTTTTTTCAAGTTCCTTTATTTTTTGAGAAAATCTATTTTTTCGAGCCCTTTTTTTAGTATTTTTTAAAAACACGAAAATTTAAATTAAAATAATTGCACTCATGATTTTTTATTCAAATAACCAGTTCCGTTTTTTCTGTTATGTCGCTAAGATCATTAAATATTATTTATATTTCATCAGTATGTAATTTGTATCTAAATATAATTTCCAAAACACACGAATAAAAAAGAAGTCGAGCGAAAAATACCGAGTAAAGCTCGGTCAATCGGGTACTGTTCAATAATATGTACTACAAATTTTAGAAATCATGTACTCTTATCGGCCTTACAAGCAAGCATTGATTGAATAGTTGTTTTTTTTTTTCAAAAGACTACACATGTCAAATATTAAGTGGTATATAAGCATGTAATCAAAATACTCACATGCTCCTGGATCTTCAATTCTTGAAACTTTTGGAATCTGGAGCCTCTTGTTTGCAAATACAACTGTCCCGAGGTCTTATTCAAACGGCACTCATCTGCAGTACAAGCGGGGGGTGGAGTAAACTGTAAGCCTCTTACAGGCTGATAAGTCTCAGCACCACAAGCACTGCATGAATATGTTGCTACCACTAACAGTGGTTTGACATCTGTACACCTCGTCACTATACCTTTAAATTAAAAATCACATTATTAATATTTTCATGAATTCTATTTATATTTATATGCCTTAAACTATATACTCGAAATATATTTATTACTGTTATGTGAAGTGTAGGGAAGTCTTAGGAAGTAATGCATGCAGGTGGCTCACGACCATGCTGTGGCATTCCTTGGGGGAGGTTATATGTTCAGCAGTGGACTTGTGATGTGCTGTAATGATGATGATAATGATAACTATTTGTAATTCACAAATTGATTCTTATTTTATATTCCTATAAATAAAACCACTTGTTTAAAAGGTTTTTTTTAATATATGAATTTAACAGAACATCTGAATGACAAATCATTAAATGAACAGGATTATTACATATCTATTGCTGTCACATTGTGCTCAAACAACCAAGCTAGACAACCAAGAGACCTCTCAAAAATCGACAATATACATATTTACCTGTTTCATTCCCTAAAACTCTACCAATTTAAATATTTTAACAATATAAGAAGGATGGTAGCCATGTCTGTATATTTTTCTCTAACTTAGTAATGTTTTGAAAGGTTTTTAGTATTAAAATAACATATTTGTGAAGAAATAAAATACATAGGTCACAGCAGTGATATTGTAAAAAATTATTTGCCCCAGTCATTATCTATATATATATATATATATATATATATATATATATATATATATATATATATATATATATATATATATTGTAGTGTTATGCTACTTACATACCATTTTACACTATTTTGAATTTATTTTTCCATTTTGTTTTTGATTTTCTGCATTAGCCTCAAAACTGGATATTTTGCATCACTTTTATTTTCGTAGGATCCTGTAACGTTTTTAAACCATAAGAACACAATAACAAATCATTTTCACTTCGTATTTTCACGTTATCAGCACTTTTTAAATCGTTATCAATGGAGTCTACCTTCTTCGATCATTTATTTAGTTCTCCGTAACTCTGCAATTTCGGGCTTCGTGCGCACTGTTGCGCTACCTTTTTTCCTATATAAATAATATCTCATTTTTCACTTAAATCTTGCCGTTTCTCTATTACGAGCCTAAAACCAAAATTTGACATGTTTTGACATCGTTGTTTATCTGGTTGTCATGGCAATTTTTATTCAAATATCGTTACCGGCCTGATGTTTTTACTTCAAAAATACTCTTTTCTTCTTGGCCATTTACAAAAATTTGCTTTTAATTTAAATAATTTCAAATAATTTCTCGTTCTTATCCCAGATCCGTCAAAAAAAAGTATAAAAGCCAAAGAATCGGCAAATAGAGGTCCTGACTTCAGCTTTGATACGAGAAGCACCTCTTAAAGGCTTTATCCGCACTGCCTCGGGATCTTGCAAGCCTTCTCCTGAAGTCGTCGCCTAGCCACGCCTACGCCTCCACCTATTAGTGCCCGCGCTATCTTCGGCCGCTGAGCGTGCTTGTCTCAAGCGCTGCGTGTTCCTACTCCAGACGCTGCGTGTCTACTCCGGACGCTGTGTGTGTCTACTCCGGACGTTGTGTTTGCCTACTTCAAGCGCCACGTGTACCTACTCCAGACGCTGCGTGTCTACTCCGGGTGCTGCGTGTATCTGCTCCGGGCGTTGCGTGTGCCTACTCCAAGCGCTGCGTGTACCTTCTCCAGACGCTGCATGTGCTTTCTCCAGATTCTGCGTGTACCTAGAGCAGGCGCTGTGCACCTATCATAGGCATAGCCTGTGCATACTTCGTTGCAGTATCTTTATTTTTGTTATTTTTTTTAATAATATTGTAAATCACTATCATCATTACAGCCCATCATCACCTTCATACTTTTTTTTATAAAAGAAACTGTAAATCTTTTCAAATTTTTAAATAATTTATTCTATTTTTGGTTGTTTTGTTGTAGTTAGATTAGGTTATTTAGTTTTTAATTGTCGCTTCACGACAATTTGGCGCCCGACGTAAAAGTTCTTCTTTTCTTCACCTTAGCTACGCCTTATCCATTTCCTTTTGATTGAATTGCTTTCTCTTTCGTTCTTAACTCTTTATTTACTCATCCTTATCATATCTTCCAAATTCTAAAACAAAACTTCATCTAGTTTTTCAACTTATCTGGATTATATTTAGACCTACATATAACACTTACATTCATCACCTTAATATTTTTATTCTAGATAACTTAAAGAGGTACTATCTTCCAAATTCTAAAACAAAACTTCATCTAGTTTTTCAACTTATCTGGATTATATTTAGACCTACATATAACACTTACATTCATCACCTTAATATTTTTATTCTAGAGAACTTAAAGAGGTACTATCTTCCAAATTCTAAAACAAAACTTCATCTAGTTTTTCAACTTATCTGGATTATATTTAGACCTACATATAACACTTCACTTACATTCATCACCTTAATATCTTTATTTTAGATAACTTAAAGAGAAACTATCTTCCAAATTCTAAAACAAAACTTCATCTAGTTTTTCAACTTACCTGGATTATATTTAGACTTACATATAACACTTCACTTCATTCATCACTTTTATATTTTTATTCTAGATAACTTAAAGAGGTACAATTTTTAATTAAATTTTTATTTCTTAAACTTAACTTTGCACTTAATTATAATAATGAAAAGGGTTATTAAGTACGAATTCCTTAAAATACGAAGTGAAGATTAGATGTGAGGAACCAGCTAATACTGTTTTGCATGACACTACATTTGTATATATGTTTGTATATTTGTATATGTGTTTGTATATTTGTATATGTGTTTGTATATATGTATAATTATTACCTGATTAATTTCTTTATCTTTATCTTCACTCAGGAGCGGATTACAACTCCTTAAATAAGCCTGAATGTACTTTTAGTGATGTTGCTCATCTCTGGCTTTGAGCCCTACCGCTCTGGCCGTTCTTAATCTTTACTTAAGTCATAGCGACTAAAGCTTGCTTAAGATTAATTTCTTTAACTTTATCTTCACTCAGGAGCGGATGACAACTCCTTAAATAAGCCTGGATGTCCTTTCGAATTTTTTTTTCCACGCAGGAGCGGATGACAACTCCTTAAATAAGCCTGAATGTCCTTTCGAAAACACACTTTTAGAGTGGTAGTCATTGAATGTGAACTCCACCCTTACCTGAATGCAGATGATGAATGTAAGAGATGGTATATCTGATTTTGCCTGGTGATGTCTGTTACTGCAAAGCTGTGTTTTTATGGTTTGTTTTAGAATGTACATATCAAAATTTTTGCTGAGTCAAAAATTTTCCAGGGTCGGGGGGGAAAATGTAGTGTTATGCTACTTACATACCATTTTACACTATTTTGAATTTATTTTTCCATTTTGTTTTTGATTTTCTGCATTAGCCTCAAAACTGGATATTTTGCATCACTTTTATTTTCATAGGATCCTGTAACGTTTTTAAACCATAAGAACACAATAACAAATCATTTTCACTTCGTATTTTCACGTTATCAGCACTTTTTAAATCGTTATCAATGGAGTCTACCTTCTTCGATCATTTATTTAGTTCTCCGTAACTCTGCAATTTCGGGCTTCGTGCGCACTGTTGCGCTACCTTTTTTCCTATATAAATAATATCTCATTTTTCACTTAAATCTTGCCGTTTCTCTATTACGAGCCTAAAACCAAAATTTGACATGTTTTGACATCGTTGTTTATCTGGTTGTCATGGCAATTTTTATTCAAATATCGTTACCGGCCTGATGTTTTTACTTCAAAAATACTCTTTTCTTCTTGGCCATTTACAAAAATTTGCTTTTAATTTAAATAATTTCAAATAATTTCTCGTTCTTATCCCAGATCCGTCAAAAAAAGTATAAAAGCCAAAGAATCGGCAAATAGAGGTCCTGACTTCAGCTTTGATACGAGAAGCACCTCTTAAAGGCTTTATCCGCACTGCCTCGGGATCTTGCAAGCCTTCTCCTGAAGTCGTCGCCTAGCCACGCCTACGCCTCCACCTATTAGTGCCCGCGCTATCTTCGGCCGCTGAGCGTGCTTGTCTCAAGCGCTGCGTGTTCCTACTCCAGACGCTGCGTGTCTACTCCGGACGCTGTGTGTGTCTACTCCGGACGTTGTGTTTGCCTACTTCAAGCGCCACGTGTACCTACTCCAGACGCTGCGTGTCTACTCCGGGTGCTGCGTGTATCTGCTCCGGGCGTTGCGTGTGCCTACTCCAAGCGCTGCGTGTACCTTCTCCAGACGCTGCATGTGCTTTCTCCAGATTCTGCGTGTACCTAGAGCAGGCGCTGTGCACCTATCATAGGCATAGCCTGTGCATACTTCGTTGCAGTATCTTTATTTTTGTTATTTTTTTTAATAATATTGTAAATCACTATCATCATTACAGCCCATCATCACCTTCATACTTTTTTTTATAAAAGAAACTGTAAATCTTTTCAAATTTTTAAATAATTTATTCTATTTTTGGTTGTTTTGTTGTAGTTAGGTTAGGTTATTTAGTTTTTAATTGTCGCTTCACGACAATATATATATATATATATATATATATATATATATATATATATAAAATGGCCCCGAGTTCCCGGCGCCCCTTTAATGGGGCAGGGGTGCGAAGAATCTCCGGGAGAAAAACCGGCGACGAGGTTCGCCACCCGTCACGTTCTGTCTCCCGGAGGGGCGAAAAGCGGATTGCGGAAGCCCGTCTGGCTACGCTGAATGTATGTGGAGCAATTAATGATAAGATGGACGAAGTATGCGAAATGATGAATGACAGAGGAATAGATGTGTTATGTGTAAATGAGACGAAACGAAAGGGAAAGGATGCCACTGCACATGGCACGTATACCGCGTATTGGTCTGGTGTAGACGAGACCGAACGGGCATGCCAGGAAGTCGGTTTCATCCTTTCAGAAAGAATGGGTCAATGTGTGAAAGAGTATGAATGTGTAAACCCGAGGCTGCTATGGATATGAATGAAAGTGGGCTTAAAGAAGCTGTTTTGCTAGGGGTGTACGCCCCATACATGTCTAACTCCACTTACATCCGAGAGCAGTTTTGGTACATGGTAAGGATGGTATTGACAAAATGTAAGGAAAATGAAAATATTATTATGTTAGGAGACTTTAATGGAAGAGTTGGGGTGAGGAGGTCTGGTTATGAAAGGATATTGGGAACGTTTGGTGATAAAAGTATAAACGAGAATGGTGAAGACCTCCTCACCGTATGTGTGGAAAAGAATCTCTTTGTGAAGAATACTTTTTTCGTCATAAGAAGATTCACATGTATACATGGGAAAGAGGTAATGATAGAAGCATGATAGATTTCATAATTGGGAGCGCAGTCGTAGATACAAGGGTTTACCGGGGGGCCAACGTAGGGACGGATCATTACTTGGTCTTACGTCGAATTAATGGTCTTTTCAAGCGTTGGCGGCATCGGTCATCTGTGTCTACCACTGCGTTACGGCGTATAAGAATAGAAAAGTTACAAGATGAAGATGTGAAAGAAAAGTATAAATGCAGACTGAGAGAAAATATTAGGTGTTTGAATGAGTTGTGTATGAATGATTTAGACTTGAATACTGTATGGGATAATATTAAGAAAGGTTTGGTGGATGCAGCCACCGAAGTATGTGGTGTAAGTAAGAGAACAAATGAAAGGAAAAGGAATACGTTGTGGTGGGATGATGAGGTACGGCGGGTGGAAGTTGAATCAAAGAAGAAAGCATGGTTAGATTTACTAGCAACTAAAGCTGGTAATTCTGGTGGTATGAATGATGAGATTGAAAGAAAAAAGGCAGAATTTAGACGTCTAAATAAGAGAGTAAAAGAAGTAGTTGAAAGGAAAAAGAAAGAAAGAATGGATAAGAATGATAGAAGGATATCTGATAATTTCCAGGCTAATATAAAAATGTTCTGGAAACTCGTAAGAACTGCCAGGGGAAATACAAAACAGCCTATAATTAATGCTGTAAGAGACGAGAATGGATGTATTCTGAATGATGAAGTTTCGAATTTAAACAGATGGAAGGAATACTTTGAAAGTGTGTTTATGAGCGAAGAATCATCTGAATTAAATGAACAAGAAATACCGAAAGAAGTGGAAAGGGGTATGGAGATGTGTGTAGATGAAATAATGAAAGCAATGAAAAGCATGAAAGCAGGTAAGGCAGCTGGATATGATAGAGTATCACTCGAGACGCTAAGGGCTGGAGAGATAGTGGTGGCAGGCCTGCTGTACACATTGTTTAATTTGTGTTGGGAATTAAAACGGGTACTGGATGACTGGTGTAAAGCAGTTATAGGACCAATATATAAAGGAAAAGGGTCACAGCAGGACTGCAAAAACTACCATGGTATCAGCTTGCTTAGTATTGTGGGTAAACTGTATGCCTTAGCATAGAATGTTAGTTGAAAGAGTTATGAAAGAAACTGATGGAAAAATTTGGGATGTGCAAGCAGGTTTTCGAAAGGGAATGGGGTGTACAGATCAAGTCTTATCCATGCGCATGATTGCGGAGAAGTTTTTGGCTAAAAACCAGAAAGATTTTTGTGCGTTCATGGACTTGGAAAAGGCTTATGACAGAGTGGACAGGAATGTGTTATGGCAAACACTGAACTCATATGGGTTGAGCGCTGGTTTGATACAGGCATTGAGGTCTCTTTATAGGGATTCTAGTGCTTGTGTCAGGATCAATGGGGTCTACTCGGACTGGTTTGGCATCCGAAAAGGTGTCAGACAGGGCTGTGTGGCTTCCCCTTGGCTGTTCAACCTATTTATGGACAGGTGTTTGCAAACTTTGAAAGATGAAGAATGTGGGTTAAAAATGGGCGAGTTAACCGTCATCGGCGGCTGAATTGCAAATGATGGTTACATTAATGAACTGGGCATTAAAAGAAAGGGGAATGAAAGTGAACGCAAATAAGACAAAAGTGATGGTTTTTGAAAGAGAGGAAAGCAAAACGGTATGTGAAATAAGAATAGTAGGAGAGTTAATTGAGCAAGTGGATGAGTTTGTGTATTTGGGATGTGTATTTAGCAGGGATGGTAGATATGATAAGGATATAGAACGACGAGTAAATGCAGGGAATAGAGTGAATGGGGCACTACACTCAATTGTGAAGAACCAGAATGTATCAAAAAAGGCACGTATGGTAATTCATAATGCCGTGTTAGTCCCTACTTTAATGTATGGTAGTGAAAGCTGGATGTGGCAGAAGAAGCACGAAAGTAGAATAAATGCTGTAGAAATGCGGTCTTTAAGGAGTATACTAGGGTTGAATCTGAATGACAGAATGAGAAATTGCGTGATGAGTATGTGGTATGTAAGATGATGTTGTGACCAGGATTAAGAAAGGAATGCTTCGGTGGTTTGGTCACGTAGAAAGAATGAATGAGAAAAGAGTGACAAAGCAAATTTATATGGCAGATGTGAACGGCAGAGTCGGGAAGAGACGCCCTAGAAAAAAGTTTATCGACCAAATTGGCGATATTTTGAAAATGGGCCACGTTAAAAGTACCCTTAACCGACGAGCATGTATGCGTAGATATATGGATGTAAAGGAGGCGAAAGAGGTATGTCAGGATCGTGTCAAATGGAAGTCCGTAGTCTCTGCCTACCCCTCTGGGTGACAGGCGTGAGTGTTTATTTTATGTTAGTGTTTATGTAATAATTTTCCAATATATATTTTTATATTTTTGTGGGCCGGGTTTTTTGTACTATAGACGTCGTTGGCGCTCAGGGCCCGCAGGTGTTGGTCAAGTATAGGCGACTTTGGCGTTCAAAAGCTAGCAAACGGCAGAATCACAATCAGCATATCAGGCCCCCTATAATATGATGTAATCTATCGCCCCATACTTTAGGCCTCGCGCATAATATTATCATTATCATTTCATTACAGCCCTTCACAAGTTCACTGCTGAACATAGGCCTCCTCCAAGGAATGCCATAAAGTACGGTCCTGACCCACCTACATCCATCGACTTCCTGCATGTCTTACCACCAAGTTGTCACTCCATCTAGTGGGGGTCGCCCTACACTACGTCTACCGATACCTGGCTGCCACTCGAACACCGTTTTTCCCTATCGGCGGTCAGTTTTTTGAGCTATATGGCCGGCCTATTGCCACTTCAGGTCACTAATCCGTTGGGCTATGTCGGTCACTCTGGTTCTACTGCGGATATCCTATTTTTCAAAGTTTACTACGCAGAAAAATCCCAAGCATAGCCCTCTCCTTAGCTTGCTGAGCGACCTTGAGCGTCCTTATACGGCCAGCAGTGAAGGACCACATCTCAGATTCATAAGTCATCACTGGAAAGTTGCCAGTGGCAACACACACTGGTTGTTCAATTTAGTTTTATATGGATATATATATATATCCAGAAATAGAAATATTTTTGTTATTTGTATCTAAACCCTGGCATAGATATCCTATTAATCATATAAATGATAATGAAACAATAATAACCATGATAGAATAAAAGAAGATGGATAGTAGCTTCTTTCTGATAACAAATCAAAATAATAAAAACCTGTAGTAGCAAAGCCGCCTGCCAAGAGTGGCAAAATGCTTCCTGCGAGGCAATCTCTGAGAGGCCTTCGTTCAGTATGTAGACTTTTATAGGCGGTAATGGATGGATTGATGAATGAAGAAATATTATATCAAATGTCTTATTTGTATATTTTTATGGTATTATGTTTGCATTTTTGAGAATTGATTATCTTGTACAGTAGAGCGTCGATTATCCGAATTTATTGGGGGACAAAAGTGTTCGGAAAACCAGTTTGTTCGGATAATCGAACAGTATTATTGTATGTACCCAATATACTAACAAAAACATTTATTTATAATATGTAATATAAATTTAATCAATTACAATTGTAATACAAGATAGAATTCTTTTATGTTCTTGTTTTTTGCTTTAATTTTCTTGTTTTAATATGTCGCTTAATTTGATTTTGAAAGAATCAGCTGCCGAAGAACCAACAGATAGCTTTTCTCCCTGTATTTGAAGCTAACAAATGCCTTCACATGCTTGCTTGAAAGTTCGACAGCCCTCCAAGTTTTTTATTTAATCTTTTGCCTTTTCACATAGAACGGCATCATAGATAGGTTCTCCTTGTGATTTTTTTTTGTGTAAATCACTTGTAAACAGCATCATCGAGATCGGTGTTCGTGGTGAGCTTCATAGTTTTAATCAAAATCATGTTTGGATATAATATTGGATATGGTCTTTTGGTTTTTATATCCGTAATTGTCGACTTAACCACTTTGTACTTCTTAGATAACTTAGTTGCAGATTCGGCTTTCTCTAATCGTTTGTTAATCTCGTATTTATCTTTTATGGAAAGAACAACATGTTTACGTTAAGGCATTTTAAATTTTGAACTAATAGTGCGAAATTAACAAATAAGCGTATAGCACTATCGGTACTGAACGTAGGCCAACACGGGACACTGCATGGAGAAACGAGAAGGTGGTCGCATCCCAGTGAAGTGCCGAGGTAACAGTTCGGTTAACCGGTCATTCAGTTAATCGACATTCGGATAATCGACATTCTACTGTATATAGATAATATACTTTGTAAAAATTTGTATGTAAATAATAAGTACATTACCTCTAACAGTTACAAGTTTTCCAATATGTTCAGCTTTTACCTCTCGAATCGGTACTGACTTGGCAGTGGACACATCTTTGAAATATACTTCACTGTAACAAACAACATTGTATATTTTAAATTAAAAAATCTACTTTGCGATTTCTACACACCAAAAATTCTCTTCTTTTAGGTTGTTACTGGGTAAGTGCTTCACCAACTTCAAAGGAGGCTACAGTTGTGTTATCACCTCTGAGGTCTAAACTGAAATGCCTCACAGCCTTTAATTACATTATAATTCAATACAATTCAAACTGCAACACTGAAAACAGGGTGGTGTACCAACCCAGATGGACTCAGACACAGACTCAATTTGTCAAGATTTTGGCTGAGACTCTATGCAATATTTGAAGGAACAAAAGAAAGGAAGAACATATTTATTATATCAACACTAAAAAACAAATGACTAAAAATGGAATTCAAATTTTTGTATCAAAAAATAAACATTAAGTTAGTTATTGTAGTTTAATTAATTATTTTATTTAGATATTTTTATACATCATATAGTAGCAGGGTAATAAAATCTACTAGCGCATATCATCCTATGGGAGTAGTAAGATGCGATAGAGGGAAATGCCTATATAGGTCCCACAGCTGGACACAGGTCTTCTCTCATCTCTGAGGTTTTAGGGCATTGAAATGTCCGGCTCACCGCCCCAATGCATTTTGACGAACTTCACATGTCTTCAAAATAATTTTTTTATTTCATAGACATACAGGTTTCCTCACATTGTTTGCCTTCATCACTGAGCAATAGTAAATCAACACTTAAAATTGCAATTAACAATTTCAATGGTGCTGACGTGGATCAAACCATAGTTACTTGCGTACTTAAAATTTACAGAGAGCGCTTAGGCTCTGTGCTACCACAGCTCGCTAAGATATAAATTTGATTTTATTTGCTGAATGCAGTTTAATTAAAGACCTAAGAAAACATAATGTGGGTCTCCTTCTACTAGAGAGTAGTACTAGAGAGGGGATAGTCCAATCAAGTGGAAACTCATTCATGAAACCGAAGGCCGGGTTAAGTAGAGTGCCGTGGAAGAAGCCTGCATCCAGCAGTGGACTGTCGCTGGCTGAAGATGATGATAATGAGCATTTTAATCAAAGAAATAAAGATAATAATGCTAATAATAAACTCACAATCTTCTTATCAATTCCGGAGGATATCTATTCCTTGGGTCTCTCATTTCACCAGGTATCCTGTGATTCCTTGCCTCCAGCATTATTCTGTGCTCTATATACACATCTAATGCATCTTTAGCTACAACCTAAAAATAACAATACATGTCATAAATTAACACTTACATTTAATACTTTTTTTTACAAATTTGATATTAATTGATTATAGTGTTACTTTAAGAAAATGTTGGCATAATTTATCCCAGGTTGATGCATTTTTTTCTGTACTAGTGATAAAAGTTAAATTATTTGTAATCCATGTTGAACAAAAATTATTTTATTCTGGATCATAAGTGAATACTGGATCTCATAAACAGTGTCGGCTACTGTTTCAACTATAGCTAAGTACCATCTAGATGATCCCATAAGTGTTTTAGTCACGCCATTTAGGAAAAGAAGAACTACGAACACATGTACACTGGAACTTTATATAAGTATAAATATAGAATAATTATTATAATCACTCAAAGTATGAATACTTTTTCTAGAGTACATAACAGACAAATAACACAAACCTCTTTATGCTTATAATCAGGCAACATTTCATAAACAACATCTGAAACCATATTAGTGTATCTTCTTGTATTTTGTTTGACTGCATTTGCCAAATCTTCATTTGTTTCAAACAGGTCATCCAAATCCACAACAAATGATGTCTGAATGGAAAAAGAAATAAAAAGGTGATGAAGTAATAGCAATCAGTGAAAAATTAACATCCACATTCAATAATGCAATTGAACTAATACACAATGTTAAACGCATCAGATTCATAATATCAGTAGAAAGGATTATAAAATTTTTATAATTCATTTTTATTACTGCTATGATATGAACTGTGTACTACTGCTGTAAGATATACAAAATGTAAAACGTTTTAAACAGATATAGCTATGGTTAAAAAAAAGATTACCAAGAATGATCTTAGGTGCAACAAATAAAGGCAAAGAATTCTGCTATAAATCGAATAGTAATGAAATTATTTTACACACCTGCTCCCGTTCCGCAACTTTTGTAAGTTGATCTGCGTATTTAAAAAATTTGTGTCCCTCATCATCAGTTTGACAAAAGTCTACGAAGAAGTTTCTTATAGCCTCTGTGAAAGAAAACAAGAAAAATTTAACGGTGGGGTCTCATAATTCAACATAAAGATCTCTTTTCTTCATTCAATACCTTTGTCAGCGGCATAGTCCCGCATAGCCATAGTTTTTGTTGATATGTAATAAAAAGCTGAAAAACACTTTAAAGAGAAACGTTAGGATTTATTCATTAATTAAGTAGTAGTAGTAAAGTAGTTTTAGTTTTTAAGAATTTTAATTTCTGCGAACACAATGTTTTTAATTTTGTGCCCCGCCTTTGACAGTAAATTTGGCGCGTAAGCGTAACAATAGAGAAGATTTTTTTTATTAATGTTGCATAACCTGGATACAGACAGGCTTTTAACCGTAGACAGAGAAACCTATAGACTAATGATTAGCGTGGCCTCGAGTGAGAAAGGACGATAATTTAGTTTTAGGTTATATGATAATCTTTATGACTTTTAAACATATTTGGATAAATTTATTAAGTGTTCTAAGAACTTAACTGAACTAGATTCATCAAGCTTAAACTCACAAAACACTTTTTTCTCACTTAAACCAACTTGTAAACTCCTTAGATCGCTACGAACTGTCAAAGTTATTTAGCAAAGTGTAGTTTGCTAAACAAAAAAACCAGCACGGAGAAAGGGACAAACAATCGCAACGCTCTGTCTCATTTCTATGCAAGACGTATGCATAAATCTATCTTTTTCTATCTTATTCTGTCTGTGGGTTTCTCTGTCTACGCTTTTAACCGTTTTAACCGAAATTTATTTTTTTATAAACTGGCTTGACGGCTCTGGGTTCTAGCCTTCTTCTGAGCCTATAATTTCTTTCGGAACCTTCATTTTTATATTTTTTTTTCTTCATAATATGCTGATGCTTCACCTTGCGAAGTTTTTGGGATATTTTGTTCTAACGACAGCTCAACCCAGCGGACAGTTGATGACGACAGCCACTAAGTTCATAAGGCACCCATGCGATCAAAGTAACTTAGGGTTTATATCAACATCAAAGCACTTGTACAAAGCACAAAGCATAATTCACAGAATCGCATCACTTTTACTCATCAAAATCCACTTCAAACTAATATTCAAGTGACAATACAGGAGCTACAATCCGTTGACGGCCAAGTTCCGCCCAAACTCCAGCTGAAATCAAAATATTGTGCATGCACGGAGTATAGAGGTAAGGAGGACAATCTCCGATAGGAGAATAATTGAAAATGTGTCCATCTGTAAGCAGTAAATAACAGTTCAAAAACTGTCAACAACAGCGCATGAATTTTGTAATTGGGTATCAAATGAACTTAGCAGTTGTCGACGGAGTGAAGTGTGCTGAGTTGAGAAATATATGCGGTCACTATAGTAGTTGATGAAACTGCAGTAAACCTCAACTACTTACTTTGTCTTAAATAATTTACTAAATATAACCTAGAAATAGTCGCCGTAAAACACGTAGAGAGTGATTTTGGAAATAAAAATTTTGAAAACAATAAAATAATGATTATAAAATGAATTATGGTGAAAGACTGTGCAATAAAAAAATGAAAAGTTCTTAAAAATCTCTAGCTACAGCTACCTTTATTTAGGGCTTTTCTACAGACCCTTTTTTATACAGGGTTTGTTCTCCTTATCTCTACACACCATATACGCGTGCGCTTTCCCTATATAGTATGATGTCTATAACTGCACCGAAATTTATACGCACAAATGAATAAGAAGTGCTATTGAATACTTAAAATTATTCAACAAACTGAAGAGGCCATGCGCATTAAAGCCTTAACAAAAAGTCTGTCACTTTCAGGGAAAGGCAAGCAAATAATCTTCCACTCACCAGATGTCGCTAGCTGAAACTGAGGTGAAGTTTATTATCACACAATGTCATTTAATTGAGAAATTAGTTTTAAATAAAAGTTTATCAGTTTCTAGCATATTATTGTAATGCACAAAATAATGCCTAAGGGGATACTCTTTATATTTTCGAATTTTAAACTTTTCTTTATTTTTTCTTCTTTTATGAATATCTATGGTTTGGTTTATTTATTTTTAATCTAGTTATTATAAAATGTAAGTAAAAGTACAGAAAGAAACAGACCTTTCCAGTTTTAGAACCAAAATAATTTCCCTGCTATGAAATCTGTCAAATATTACACCTTATTTTAAAGCGGCGTCGCCGTGGCAGAAAATGTCGTGGATGCCTGCAAAATGTTGCAAAATTGAATCACGTCATTATACACGTACACTACAGCATTTGAGTTTATGTTCATTGCATTTACGAATACATTACGCCCTCAATCCGATACTTTGTACAACAAAGTCTCTATTTCAGACACAAATTTGTTCTGGTAGTTGGCGACGTTTCCCCTAGAAATATTGGCACGGCCGGTTTATAAAGCATCACCAGTGCTGTCGTCCGTATAGCAGTGAATCTCTATCAAGTTTGTAACATAGCACGCAGAATTTTGGAACATCAGCGTTAATAAGCTTGTAATCAGAGCATGCACCGTCTACTACGATCTCGATGCTCCGATCAGTAAGGAAATTGGTGACCTGGGAGTAAGGCTCCCTAATTAGGGCATCAAAATGGACCCGGTCCGCAGTACCCTCGCCACTGCGCAGTTTAATAACACAAAGGGCAGTTAGGGTATTTATTCGATGCGAACAACTTCGTTTATTTCTCTCAAATTCGTCGAGAACGATACATCAATTCTTTCAAACATCGATAAACCGTTCATAAATATGGTTCATGGTTCATGGCATATTTTGGCTTGCCGTCAAAGGTTACGAAATAGCCAACTATTCGAAGGTATGAAATTCCGTATGTTAAAAGTTGAGAACGATGATTATCACAAATTTTATGTTACCGATATGCTGCTGCCCTTAGACAACTCAATGAATGGTCTAAGAGCAGCAGGCGAGAATTTGAACTGAGAGGGCGCAATTTTTCTCAAATTATTTTGCTAAAAACTATTTATATCTAATTTTAGTTTAAATCTTGTAAATACAGTATAATAGCAGTTTTGTAAATAACTACGATGTCAAATACTAAGACCGGGGATAATATCTGTGTCAGGAAAAGCTCGGTTACCTCAGCGAAACGTGCAAGAATAATATACTCCCAGGTTGCAGGCGATGTACAGTGGTAGGAATGAGGACTTTTTACCTTTTCAGAACCCAAATTATAAAAGACTATATCCTCAAAACTCTACTAACAGTGAATTTAAAGTTTTTGTTGAAAGCTCAATAACAAAAGGCTGGGCAATAACAGTCCACTATATCAGAACCTTACTTTTACAACAGACATAATTGAGTGGGGGCCATTCATAGAGTGAATGCCAACAAAATCGCAGTCGTGTTCAAACAAAATATTGCAAATAATAATTTTCAAACTAACACGGTTTTCCTGGACAAGTACAAACTGATGGCGTATAAACCAGCGGCACAAATTGAGAAAATGAGAATTATTCAATTTGTGCCAACCTTAAAGAACTATATTGTAAGCTTTCCTCACTATATGAGACAATTACTGTGCACAGGTTTCTGAAGAAAGTTCGTTGGGAAAATATGCCACTACAAAATGTCAACATTACATTCCTTGACAATAATTTACCTGACAATGTGGAGTATAATTTGTTTTCCTACAGTGTTACAAATGTTTTAAATTTAACCATTCGGCTAAGGTTTGTAAAAACTTGGTTATAATATATAAACCTTGTCCGATACCTTGTTACACTATGTATTTTCTATGTATTTGTTATTAGAGAGGGGGCAAACGAGCATAAGACTCACCTGATGGTACGTGATTACCACTGCCCATGAGCAACGGCAACACCATGGGAATTGCAGATGCATTGCCGGCCTTTTAAAAAGGAATATTGAGGAATGGCTCTTTTCTTGATGGTCCCTAAGTCGTATCGGTCCGGAAAAATCTCCGATGGTAGTCAATTTCACAAGGAAGCTGTGCGAGGAAGAAAACTTCTTTTAAATCGGTGGTGGACCGCCAGTCATCCAGATGGTATGGATGGTATCGAGAGGTTTGCCGCGTAGTGCGTTCATGAAATTTGGCGGCTGGGATTAATCCGAACAATTCCTCACAGCACTCCCCAAGGAGCTGGTACTGGGGAGCCCCAGCCCAGAGATGGGAACAGTATTCCATGTGGGGCTGGGTAAAGTTGCAGGCGGTAAGCTGGCATGAAATACTGTCCCGCTCTGCTGAGCGCGCCAAGCTTTCTAAAAGCCAAGTTACTACACTCCTGAGCGTGGGTGCTAAGGCTGCCCCGCGTATTCTGGGGGGGGGGAATTCCGCTCAGACAACAACTGCTCGGGGCTCAAGATAGCAACAAGACCAAGGCAACTCCTGCCACGCTATCCGTGCATTTTTGCAGTATCAGGGGATTTCATTCTAACCTACCATTCCTAACCCATCTTGAGACGACGAAGCCGGCTCCGCTCTTTTTGAAGGAGACGCAGGTCTCCTCTCCGGCTGATGCTTCGTATCTCTCCTACCCGGGGTACAAAATGGAACACTCCTTTGTGCCTCGGGCTGGAGTTCGCGTATACTTCAGAGAGGACTTCTGTTCTCTACGCCTCGGCAGTCTTGAAGGTTCAGACCTGTTCATCCTTTGGCTACCCGTAGACTGCGACGACGCGTCCGCGCGTCTACGGGTGCCTCTACAGGTCCCATAGCGGTAATGCCGAAACAGACCGACTCTTCGACCACGTCCAAATGGCTACAGATTCTTTGCTACAGCAGATCCCCTCCGCTGAGATCATGATCCTCGGCGATTTTAACGCCCACTACGCCGAGTGGCTTTAACGCACGTTTAACCAATCAGGGGATCTGTTCATGATTTTGCCTTGGTATATGATCTGACATAACTGGTTACTTCGCCTACGTGGATTCCAGATGTGGAATGGGATAGGATGCAGTCTTTCTTTGCAACCTACCCTTGGGGGCAGGTTTGCTTCTCGCCGGACGATCCCAACGTTGTTGCTGATTCTGTCGCTGATGTAGTACTTCATGGTACGGAACTTTTTATTCCTTCCTCTGTGGTGCCCATCAGAGGCAAATCTCAGCAATGGTTTGGTCGCTCCTGTAAAATAGCATCATGCTATAAGCAGGAGTGCTACCAAGCTTGGGCTGACACATCAAACTCCCGGGATGGAAGCACAGGCACTCTAAAAAAGAAGTATAATTTCGCCTCCAGGACCTTCAAAACAGTTAATGCCAAGGCAAATTCAGAGCACATAGGCAGAATTGGCGAGAAACAAGTTCACCTTCCTTCTGGAACTCGTGCGTTCTGGTCTCTCACCAAGGCTGTCCGGGAGAATTTCTGTCAGTCATCTCTTCCATCTCGGCACAGAGAGGACGACTCACTGGTCCATGCCGCAAAGGAGAAAGCCGATCTGCTATACTCTTAACTTGCATCCTACTTGACTATCGATGACAGGAGGAGTACGCCGCCGACCATCCCGCGGTGTGAGTGCTTCATGGCGGAGGTGCGGTTTACACAGCGCTCGGTTCGCAATGCACTCCTCTCCCTGGACATCCACAAGTTGAGTGGACCTGACGGTATCCCCCCAATTGTGCTGAGGGTGTCTGCTCCACAGTTGGCACCAGTCTTAACGCGTTTTTCCGATACTCCTACTCTCTAGTCGTAGTCCCAAAATCATGGAAGACGGCTTTCATCCACCCGATCCCTAAAAAAAGGTGACCACTCAGACCCGTTCAACTAGAGGCAATTCGTTCTCGAAAACAATGGAATCAATTGTAAACTGCCAGTTCATGAGGTACCTTGAGAATCACCAGCCGATTAGTGATCACTTATACGGTTTTCGTCGTGCTCAATCAGCTGGTGATCTTCTGGTCTACCTGACTCATAGATGGGTGGCGGCGATAGTGTCCAAGGGGAAGGCATTGGCCGTTAGTTTGGAAATTGCGAAGGCCTTCGATCGGGTTTGGTACAAAGCGCTTCTTTCGAAGCTCCCTTCCTATGGGCTTCCCGAGAAATTGTGCAATTTGATTACCAGCTTTCTTGCAGATCGGAACATCAAGGTCGTTGTAGACGGTACAAGCTCCGATTATAAGCCTATTAATGCTGGTGGTTCAGAAGGCTGCATGCTATCACCTACTCTGTTTCTTCTGCATATCAGTGATATGTTGCAAAACTGCAACATTCATTGCTATTCTGCAGATGACAGCACTGGTGATGTTCTGTACACCGGCCGTGCCAATATTTTTCGAGAAAACGTCTCCGAGTACCGGGACAAACTTGTGTCTGAAGTCGAGTCTTTGCTTAACAAAGTCTCGGATTGGGGGCAACTAAATCTAGTCCAGTTTAACCCTCAGAAGGCACAAGTTTGCGTGTTAATCGCTAAAAAGAACCCCTATGTCGTATTTCCTCAGTTTTGAAGGCACTCCCCTTGTTGCCTCAGCAAGTATCGGAATCCTCGGCGTCGACATGTCGAGTGACATGTAGTTTCGTGGTCACTTGGAAGAAAAGGCCAAATTGACCTTTAAAAAGCTTGGCGCGCTCAGCAGAGCGGGACAGTATTTCATGCCGGCTTACCGCCTGCAACTTTACAAGGCGCAGGTTCGGCCGCACATGGAATACTGTTCCCATCTCTGGGCTGGGGCTCCCCAGTACCAGCTCCTTCCACTTGATGGCATCCACCGCAGAGTGTTTCGAATCGTCGACGACCGAGTCCTTTCTGATCGGCTCGATTCACTGGCGCTGCGAAGAGATGTTGCATCTCTTTGCATTTTCTTTCGCATATATCGTGGGGAGTGCTCTGAGGAATTCTTCGGATTAATCCCAGCCGCCAAATTTCATGAACGCACTACGCGGCTAACCTCTCGATATCATCCACACCATCTGGATGCTTGGCGGTCCACCACTATACGTTTCACTAGGAGTTTTCTTCCGCGTACCACCTCTCTGTTGAATAATTTACCACCAGCGATTTTTCCGTACCGATACGACCTGGGAACTTCAAGAAAAGAGCTTACTCCTTTCTAAAGGGCCGGAAACGCACCTGCAATTCCCCTGGTGTTGCGGTTATTCATAGGCTGCGGTAATCGCTTAACATCAGGTGAACCGTATGCTCGTTTGCCTCCTCTTCTATAGAAAAAGGTTAACTAACTACTATTAAACATCCCAATCGTAATCCATCTGCTATTGACGTCTGAGTTCATGATGATAATATGGGAAGTTGTCATTTCTTTACTATTACGGAAATTACCCTCACCGCTGATCGGTATAATATTAACCCTCCTTTTTATAGGTTTCTATACAAAAAAGCTGATTGGAATATGTACAATGAACTTTTAAAGACTGAAACTGTTTTGATAATTTAACATTTAACCTAGATAATCAGCTTAGCTCTTATGCCAGTTTTTGTGAAATACATTCTTCACTTAAAACGCAATATATTACTGAGCTTGTAAAAACTTTTGAGAACAAAAACAGACTAACTGCACCTTGATGGAATGACTAGTATGAAGAAAGTGTTAATCGGTCTAAACAGAAAAGAGGCTTGCTTTCATGATTGTTTCTACATTCTGCATCTGCAAGTTTCTAATAATATACCAAATTCATATAAACCTGCAAACACAATATCAAAATATAAATGAAAAATGCGTGTAGTTTTTATACCTAAAAGAATTTTCATTGCTAAAAATGAAGTTAACATAATAAAACAAAAAATTGAAAAAACCAGGATTTACAGATTTTTTCGGATGATAATAATTATTATCCATCTTATTACCTACCTACTTATAGCGTATACAATGGTGAAATATCAATACTTTCACTACTATTACTTTACTTTTCCTAATTTTGTTTTTTCTTGATTTATGACTAGAAATTGTAGCTTTACCCGAATTTCCCGAACCGGATTGAGCCTCGTGATGTCGTATCGGGGTATACCCCATTACCCGGACTTTCCTCATGGCCCATAACTATGGGCCAGTCATTAGAGCCTATTCTAGGCGTGGATGTTTACTACAGATTAGTCCGTAGTCGGATGAGATTTTTTTTCCGCAGTCGGTTAAACGGGAAAAAAGGAGGTTATCTGGTAAAAGTCTAAGTTGGCCTTTCAGCAGTATTGAGGGTTGTTACTCGACTCTCTAATCGCTATAGAGAGGAGTTCTCTTGGTAAAGGTCGCCCGTCCGGCGGCCGGGTATGCAACGGCGCAAATCCATTGAGGTGTTCATGTGGCCCGTTGTAGGCGCGGTCGAACAAGCCGCGCGCCAGCCGGGCCACAAAGTCGGTGATGTTCTCGACCTTTAGATCGGCCGCTATAACGTCGTTCCAGACGTAGCGACCTGCTCCGATGATCGTCCTTAATGTCAGATTCTGCTGGCTTAACTTTCAACGGCTTTTATTATCTAGTGAAGTGTGTGACAGTGACGGTGACAATGAAAGTGAATCCATTGCAAATAATTACCCGTGCCGTCTGTGTTAAAAATAATTTGTAATATTTTCTGCTAATATACAAATACATTAAATTTGCAATGGAAAATCTATAAAAACGAAGATCCCGAAGGAAATGAAGAGTTGGCTTAAAAGACAAGTATCTTAGCCAAAAGGCTTATTATTAAAAAAGTTATTTTCGCGCCAATTATAATATCAAACTGTCAAATTAAACCTTTTTTTTTCATGTGTATTGTTTATAAGTAATATATTTTTATTAATAAACTAACAATGGCTGATTCTTTAGGTAATTAAATACCAACGTATCCATATAGAGTATATATTTATGCACACGTATTGTTAAAGCTAATTTTGTTATTGTTTATAGCCGGGTCAAGAGCCAAAAGGCAAAAAGTTGATAAACATGGTCGACTGTCGGCATTAGAGAAACTAAAGCAATTGAAAGGGAAAGGTTCTAAACATAAATATGATGTAGACGAAATGGAAAATGTGTACGACACAGTCGACGAGAAGGAATACCATGATCGTGTTTTACAGCGACAAGATGATGACTGGATTGAAGATGATGGTAGGATTCATATTTTCATCTTAAATTTACGGCTACTTTACAGGAGCTAATATTATCAGCCCTAGAAGTGACTGTAATTATAAAGTACCAAAAATAATTAATTTGTGTCATTTGATAAACAAAGTATTATAACAATTGCTACAACAAACAAAACTCAGTTAATTTGTCACATTGTACATCTATTATTGAAAATATTTAATACTTGAACACTTCGAAATTATTCCAGACATCTACATATCAAAAGTGTAAATACAAAAGATAAAGGTTTATCACATAACACAGTAGACAACTTTTACTACTGTCGAGCCCCCTAACTTTGCCTGGTTTTTGATATATTTTTCTATCTTTCTCTCATATTGTGGAGTATTTTAAGGTACCAAATGAAAAACATTTTGTTTTATTTAGGACCAACTAAAGACCATCAATACTTAATAACACATACTACAAATGACTGGAAAACGATGCAACTGCAACAGGTAAAGTTTGGGCATTGTTTCCTACCTTCGCCTGCCTTATATTTATCAATGATATAGGTACATGATTAGTTGTCTACAAGTGTAGTTGTCATACCAAATAAAGTTTCGAGCAGTTGATTTTTCTAAAAAAAACAAGCAGGCAAAGTTTGGAACCCATCTGGAGTTAGTTTCATACATTTCTTGAGAGTTGCCTAGGGTTGTCAAAACCCAAAGAAAAAAGAATAATAAAAATTGAAGTATTTTTTATTAGGTTTTTTATTTTATTTGTTACTAAAACTTCTATTTGGCTTTCATTTTGGATACCTAATGCTGATTTGACCAGCAACAAATAAAGCTAATTTTAAGTTCCGTAATTTTCTAAAACGTCAAAACGGAAAGGGATTTGGAGATCACAGCTAATTTTAGAACTATCAGATTAGGTTGCAAGCTTCAATTTTTGCCCAGAGACAAGTTGTTTGAAATGTAATGTTTACGTACCTACTAAAATTTGATGTTTACTTTCTAATTTCATGGCACTTAATTAAGCTGAGCGTAAAAACGGGAAGAATATATCTGCTAATCTTTGATGAGTGGCCATTTCCAAAATGTCTTTCCTTATTTCATGCAGTTAGCTGTTGGTCCTGCGCCTGAACTTTTTCCGGTCGTGTCGGTCTGCCATTTCATTGGAATTAGAGGGTGAAGGATTAGAGAGTATACTTATAAAATGCGCATACACTCGGACACTAAAAACAAGTCCTGCGCAGTGGTTGATCTCAATGAGATCGGCTGCCTTGGCAGAAAATCGGTCGGCAGGACTAGGTACAATGTTTATCCAATTAATGGGACACGATCGGCTATATAAAAATAGCCGATTTGAGTTCGCGCATAACCCGCATTCAAAGTGCCAACCCTAGGGGCAGGCGAAGATTAGCAACAACATGGGCGCTGCGGCTCACTAAGCAGTATTTCTTTCGATTTATCTTTAATTACATAATTTATAATAAAAACGATTACGTTGTCTGAAAGAAAGACAAATACTGATTATATGATCCTCACAAATCAAAGTTTTGTCCGTCAAACGAAAAAACTTCAGTCCCGTTCACCGAAAAAACCCATATGTCATCAAGTGAAGACAAGTTAGCTACGTGTTGCAAGCAAAAATATTGCCAAGAATTAAAATTGATTTGAATTTGGTAGTTTTACGCATGGACAGATAAATATGTTTCGGATTAATTATTATTTTTTTAAATAGGCGAAGTTAGGGTTCACAGGCGAAGTTAAGGGGTATGACGGTATTATTTGTGTTTGAATGCAGACATTGTGTTATAACGTGTAACTTTGTTGCACACTGAGAAAGTTTTCACAAAAACTTAGAGAGTTCAGAAAGTCATGACTTTATTGTAGTTATAATATATAATACATATAAATCTTTTTCACAAAGTATGAGTAGGGTGACATGTATGATCTAAAGTTTTTAGAGATGCTATGAAACAAAGCATATATCTACTATAATCATTATTAGTAATGTTTAGTAATGTACAATATTTTATTAGTAATGTTTATAAAATGTATTGTCAAAAATCAATTGCATATCTGTTCAGGATGATTTTATAATAAAGAAGAAATTGAATTTGATGATGATAATTTAGTTATTTGTCCATTTCTCATCCACTCCTTCGGACTATTATTTGCAAACACTATCTATTTAAATATACCTTTACCAGTCATGGAGAATAAAAGCACTGCACTGTAGCAGATATATGTAAGAGGGTCTACCTACCCAGATGGTCTCCTTGGGAGAAAAGTAGTCCTACCTGCTAGATAATTACATCATTAATTCTTTTTTAAATAAAACTATTTTTGAATACAATGTGAGTGAAAATACTATGTTATTCAAACATCACCATACCTATGGAATGTAAAAATAATTTTAAAGTTTTATTTCATATCCTAAATATGTCTTTATGTCTCTTCACAAGGAGAATTAATAGTAAATTAAATCAAGTAAAGTTTTATATTAATATTAATAATTTTCCCTTTTCTTCAGATGGAACAGGCTATGTAGAAGATGGTCGTGAAATATTTGATGATGATGATGATATTGAAGACAGTTATGTAGCTTCTAATAACAAAGAATCTGGACGTGGCACCAAGAGAAAAGCGAGGGTAGCTCCACAACCGACTAGTAAGGGCAATATCCGTAACTTACTGGGAGCAATGCCAGCAAAGAAGAAAGAGGTATTATAACTATTGCTAGTATTAATGATAATATTCTTTTAGCCTATTTTAGAATAAGTTGACTTCTTAATAATCAGAGGCCTTAACTGGTTAGGAAGTATCGGATACTCTAATGACTAGACCATTTGTTTGTTGGTAATGTTACTAATATAAACACATCAACAGAATCTAGGGATACCTTAATCCGTAGACACAGAAACCTATAGACAAATTGACGTCTTCTTTCGCATTAGCACTCGAAAAATATAGGTTTATGCATACGTCATAGCAATGAGACAGAGCGGTGTGATTGTTTGTCCTTTTCTCCGTGCCGGTTTTTTTTTTGTTTAGCAAACTACACTTTGCGAAACAACTTTGACAGTTCGTAGCGATTTAAGGAGTTTACAAGTTGGTTTAAGTGAGAAAAAAGTGTTTTGTGTGCGTAAGATTGGCGAATCTTGTTCAGTTCAGTTCTTAGAACAATTAAATTTTTTTATCTAAATATGTTTAAAAGTCATAAAGATTATTGTATAACCTAAAACTAAATTATCGTCCTTTCTCACTCGAGGCCACGTAAATCATTAGTCACTCTGTCTACGCCTTAATCCTATATTTTTTACGACTTATAGTTTAAAATCTTTTTAGTTTCCATAAAAAGTTTATTTACAGATTCAAACCTCTTAAAAATCTAAATAAAACGAACGAAAGATAAAACGAAATACGGTGGCAAAATTGTCAGTAATTTGTTATATCAAGAAAAACTTAAATTGTTCTACTGATATTAATTAATAAAAATGGATTAGATTGCTTCTTTTTTAATTTAATGTGCCATGTGAGATTTAAAAGTCATGTCACATCGTCATTTGAGTCGAGATGAGCTGTGGGTATTTTAGAAAATGATGCTATTCGACCCATCATTGCTGAGGCCCTACACACCAGCCAAAATGTGATCAAGGTTGAACGGTACATGGCTAGATATCGTGTTACTATGCAGAGATAAGATTGATTTCTTCATAGACCTCCAGAAGACAACCTAATATCACAGCAATGCAACTACTACAAAGGTTCCCGAAGAACCATCAGCTGCCTGGTAAGCGAAGGAGGTTGCATGAAGTTGGTCTTTGCATTTGCACAAGCATTGCGACGTGTAAGTCGCAGTGGACGGCTTTCGTGAGCTTGGCAGCATTTACCATGAAGTGACGAACAATGGTGTTTGATGCTGTTCACTGATGAGTCTAGGTTTCATCCGGATTCACCAAAAAACGCGCGTTTGGATAACTGTAGGGAGAGTTAGCCGTCTACAGCAACCTCAGGAGGTCGACTCATACCAGGCGGGACATTTATGGTGTGACAAATCCAGCTCTTTAGGATCCAAAGCAGCACAACTGCACAAAAATAAGACGAGGAGGTAGTAGTCTGTTATTGTCCCATACGGAATCCAAATGGGCCAGGAAATTCTACTTATGCACGATAATGCTCCTTCCCATACGACGCGGCTGGTGTCGGCCGCTCTCCGAGACCACGATATTCAAGTTTTAAATTGGCCTGCACAGTTGCCCGACTTAAATCCTATCGAGCATGCCTGGGATATATTACAACGAAAAGCTTTGAGAGATTTCCCGCCAAATTTGACGACGGAACAACAACTTTACGAACACTTGCAAAGAACGTGGGACCTCATACTGCACCAAGACATTGACAATTAATTTTAAATATGAACAATCGATGTGAATGTGTAACTAATGTAAGAGGTGGTATCACTGATTGATATTAATAATTAGAGTTTATAAGATTCAATTTTAATTAAAAATAAATACTGTATCAAAAAGTTTTTCGTAGATTTTTAGATATTTGACGAAATATAAAATATCCCTAGATTCTGTTAATGTGCTTATATATAAATAAATCACCGGATTTGGTTTTAAATTCCCGATATTTCGAGAAGTTACGGACAGCACCCATAATATAGATTAAGGGATTTAAAAAAAAACATGGACACTTCGCGAAATTTAAAGTAAGTATTAACAGTCTACATATTCAGTATATCTATGAAATCAGATTTATTAGAACAAAAGTACTTCAAAAAAACACCGATTCCTATCAAAGAGGATTCATGGGACTTGAAATAGGTAACATACTAATTTTGATGATAAAGAAAGCTACAATCAGGATGGGCCCTTTTAGTTAATAAAATCTAATCCAAACCAAACACATCACTGCAAGATTTCGAGATATTGTGTGTTCTGCAAAGATAAGACCACAATTAATAATTAAAAGCTGAATAGGTACTATTAAGTACTTAAACCGTTATTAATTTAACAAATATTACCTTTCTCCACAACAATTTACATTCATTTAGCACCAGCTTCGTACGGGTGATTTCTAGATCGACAACAGCGCCACCTACTGGGTCGAAATGTGAATTTAAACCATCTAGGGACCCATTCAAAATCATCCAAATAAAACAAATTGGTCAAGCTGTTATTGAGTTTTAGCGAAACTAATGGACAGCGATTGGTTTTTATTTATCGAGATTATCTTATAAATGCTAAATAAATATCAATATGTTAATCAAACACATGCATTGCCTAATGAATGCTAAATAGTTATAAATAGGTTCCTGTTATAAATAATAATATTCAAATTTAATTAAACTAAAATTGAATAAAGTATAATTTTATTGTTCAGGATATGAAAATCTCTGAAGACAATATACTCTCAGACATCATGTCTGATTTAGATGGTAGTGCAGCATCTTCTGTTATTAAACCTAAGACGATTGCTCCTAGCAAAGCTCATGTTATAGAGAATAGCAAGAAAGAAGCTCAAAATTATTTCAAAAGCCTTTCAACAAGTATTAAAAAGCCAGTTCCAATTAAAACAGAAGAGACTTCGAAAGCCTTAGAAGCAGATAACAATGTAAGTACCGTAATTTTTCTTTGATATACTATTTTTACGTGTCGGGTGAGTAAAAATGCCGTTTAGGATGAAATATAGATGTGTTGTACTCGATAAAATGAATAAAGAATTTCTAGGCCAATCCAGGTCATTCCACTCTTTCGACTGGAAAGTACTAGAACACTCATGATAATGAAACAATAAGAATATCCAAAGGAAAAGTTTTTATACATGCGTCGACATAAGGTTGCTTCTTGCTTGCATTAATAGTCAAAGCAGTATCAATTTTTATGTCTACACATTTTTTTTTGAAGTAAAAACTTCTTTAGCGGCGTTGTACACTTTTTTGTAATGGGTAAAAAATGTTAAACTCGCGTCAGGACACGTGACCCTGATCGAAAATGCGTAAGACGGATAGAGAGAAAGAGACAGCCGGCGCGGCGTAGGAGAGGAAGTATCCCCCTCTCTTTCTACGGCGTGGCGAAAATTAATGCCTGCGCCTGCCGTGTTGTTTAGTTGTGTACGATAGCGCAATAAATAAATATTGTATTCTACCACATAAATGATAGTACTTTTATACTGATAATTAAAGCAATTCGTACAAAATTATTAAAGTAAAGAAATAGCACAACGTTAATATTCAAGTTTTCACTTCTGCCGGCACGCCCGGAGTGTCGTTTTTTTTACTTGACCAAGGCCACTAATACCTATTTCGAACATTCTCGTACAGTGTGACGTAATACGCAACTGGCTGTGGTAACAGTATAATAATAGTAATAAGTTTTATTTCAATGAACTACAATTCAAATAATGTCTTAGCCTCATTTACATTCAGCCCCTGCCACTGCTCCTCGCGCTGCCGGCTATACTTCGCTAAATACTGCCGTAGCAGGATCGCGAGAAGTGTGTATTCACACTCACACTGTCCTACCACTTACATCGCTTTCGGCTTTCGACTATGGCAGACGTCGAAATCGAAATAATTACAGCGTCCGCGCTGTGTCTTCTTGCAACACAAAATTATGTTAATAATTTAAAAAGATATCAGTTAAGAAGATAGATAGATTTTATTTGATAGATAGAATTTATTTGCTTAAAAACATGGTACATAAGATCATCAATGACGTGGAACTGACATGTTTTGCCATAATTAGCATGCAAAAATGATATGAAATACAGCTAATTACACAAACCCAATGTTACATTTTAAAATTATTGGATTGTTGAAAAGTCCGTTATAAACATTCTTTTTGAATTCAAATATTATGTAAAATTAAATACATATACAGATCCACTCTATTTGAATTCATATACAGTAAATTGTTCATAAATTATTAATTGAATGATTACATTATTGTTACATAAATAATATTAAATATTATATGAGATTAGTTAAGCTATTATTATTTTTATAATTACACTATAATTTGAAAATCTCAGGTTATTATGCAAATATTACCATTTAACTTATTTTACATTTTAATAAATAAATAATCAATTGAGTTACTAATCGTTTTTAGAAATAAAATTAATGTTAATGTTCATTAATTCCTTAAACTAAATTTTATATTAATATAATAAATTTGACGAATTTATAATTAATTAATAACAGTCTATGTACATAGGTACTATGTTATCTCAAAAATGAGATTCCACGTCATTGGGAACTGACATGTTTTGCCATAATTGGCATGCAAAAATGATATGAAATACAGCTAATTACACAAACCCGATGTTATATTTTAAAATTATTGCATTGCTTTAAAAGTTAGGTACAAACATTCTTTTTGAATTCAAATATTATGTATTAATTAAATACTTATACAGATCCACTCTATTTGAATTCTTATACAATAAATTGTTCATAAATTATTAATTGAATTATTACATTATTGTTACATAAATAATATTAAATATTATATGAGATTAGTAGACTCTACACTCACAGGCACCTGAACTAGGATAAACCTGTATCTCAGGTGTATGTGCTAATAGATACATTAACAAATATTTTCTGTTTCTTATGTAAAGTGAATAATATAGGTAGCAACTAATTAAGGTTATTTCAGTAAAATATATTAACATTAATTTATGATATTAATTAACTTAAAACAATCAGCAACTTTTCCGTATCATCATATGACAAATTTTGTAACCATGTTCGAATTACATTTTTACAATCTGCCATTTTTAATGAATACACGTACAAAATTGCATTGACTTGATTATACAGAAAAAGGCCAAGGAATTTAAAAATTCTATGCATGAAAGAATGCCTTATTATAATGTTATTTTCAATTGCTTTATCCTTGCGCCTTTTATCAGTGAGCTCTCTTCTATAGGGCAATTTTAAGTGCTGTTTTAGTAACGTACTCATGACGATTAACTGGCGCACTGAGAGGTCATTATAGGATTTATATAAGTTATACAATAGGCGAGAATTGATTGACATATTGCGAAATATACTTTCTTTACTACCTTAATATTAGCAAAAGAACGAATCTTTTTATAAACAAACATTAGTTTACAAACTATTGCACAGGTGGTTTAATTAGGTTTTAAATGTAAATGTAGTATCTATAATTATTCCAAAGTATAAATACTTTTTTGTATTAAAAATAACTGGGCAGTTACATGTAGACTCTGCGAATAAGCAACATTGATTTGCATAAATTTCTGAAATGGTTATATGCTACACATAGAAAAATAAATATATTAGGTTTTGTCTTCATTCAGATTCAATGTTTTGTTGGGGCTATTTATTAACCCTATTAAAACCTTGCTGTGCACATAAATAAACCTTGTCTCCTGTATTTGAGGAAAAAAGGAGCACGGTATCATCTGCGTAAGATTTTATTTTCCCTGAGTTAAGTTCGAGATTGCAAAAGTCATTTATATAAATCAAAAATACGGTTGGTCCTAATATATTTCCTTGAGGCACGCCAAAATTAAAGTTCCCTAAAAGTTGAAGGTGCTTACCCTCAAATACCTATGGGTATAGAAACTGTATCAAAAACTTTTCCTAGGTCAAGGAAAATGCCAATTGATTGGTTTCCTTATCTAATTCTTGAGATATATAATCGGTTATTTCCTCTGAAGCATCAGCAGTGGACAATTTTGGCCTGAAACCATGTTGCATATTCAATAATATGGATTTACTTTGAAAATAATTCATAAATCTGTTATTTTTCTAATGCACAGACATTAAGGTAGTCTTTTGCTCCGCCTTCACCGCCTTCTGGGTTGGAATCTATATTCATATCACTTGTTAACACTATATTTTTGCATGGCGACAGTTGCCTAAGTGTGTAATAAATTGCCTAAATGTGCCGTCTAATGACGTGATAAAATTGTCTATTTGTTTAAAACCACAACGTCTGTAAACAGCAAGGATAGCAGTTTCATGACCCATTTTCATCATTAACCTACTACAATCTAGCATGTTAGGTTCTTCGACTGATATGTTTACTCGTATTTTTTTTTCGCGAAGACTACTTACACCGTCATTTTGGTTAAATACAGTATTGCTACTGAAAGTATTGTATCCTGGAAGTGATGGCAGGTTGTTTTGGCTTTTAGACAGCCAACATTCTGTTACTATGATGACGTCGCAGGCGGTGTCCAATCTTCGAAGGAGGATATAGAAATTATCCATGTTTGTATTTATACTATGAATGTTCTGTGTTAAAATAGTAAGAGAGTTCGCAGGCGTGAAGAGATATTTCTTGCACATATCAATTTCACATGTTTTTGAACAGATAGCATCTATTGTATTATACTTAACTTATTATTTTTTTAATACGTGATTACTTAACAACAGGAATAAAAAATATAAAAAGAGAGAAAAACACAAACATATAAAGTAAAACTTATAGATTAGGATAAAACGATTAAGATGAACGGTGGCGCCCTTAGGCGTTCTCATTATAATCTATGGAATTAATGTAAGTACCTATTTTCAGCCGTCTTCCTAGACGGACATTTGGGGTCACCTGTTTTGTGGTTACTCGGTTTTTTAAAACGCAGGCATTCTGGATCAACTTTATTAATGTAAGCATTTGACTAACATCCTAATTCACCACAATATCCACATGTGTCGATAGTTTCCCGGCAAATTCTTGCAGCATATCCGTACTGTTGTACCAGGTGATTTGAAGCATCTGGTACAAGTGTGAAGGCTCGAACTGGGCACGACGTCCAATTTATGAAGACTCGCTTCTGGTTGATAAATGCCTTTCTGATTTCGGCTAGCACTTCCAAAATAAAGCTGCGTTAAAGTTTTAAATTATTATCGCGTTAAGTTAGGAAGGCAAAATTTTGTTCATAAATGCAATCAAAGACTTCTCGTTCGCTAAAGGCGGTAGGTATACCTACGACTATAATCTTCGGTCTTTTTTATGGGGCTCTTCCACCTTTAGACCTGAACTACTAAGCTGGATAGATTTTTTAGTTTTTCAATGTCGTCCTTTGTTTCATTGTAACGCCTCCATTTTTAGTTTTACGTAGTTCTCTTAGGTGTGATTTCAATTGTTCGGAGCATATAATTTCTTTGGACAAGAGATTTTGTGACTTCGCTAGTTTTTAATTTATTCTCCGGGTAAATTGCAATGGAACTGAAGGTTTTATTTTTTCTGAAGTAATTATTTTTTGTTTTAACCATATCAGCAAAGGACATTATTCTATAGACGGTTATAGTTATAGTATGTTTTAAACTTATTGTATTTTGGTCTCATGTTTGGGGTTATGTACATTAGTACGTTGTTGAACTTCTTTTCGTTTTTTTTTAATATCTCAAGAAGAAATGTCTTCAAACCAATTTCAGCTGACATTTAATTGTAAGGAACATTTCTTAAAAAAATTTATTTTGGATTCGTTTTCTATGAGCTACCACCTAACAAGAGAAAAATACGATAAAATTATTTGTCTTATATGGTATATTTTTATCAACTACCAATATTTTCAATTATTTATAAATAAAATAAAAATATTACAGCAGAAAACTTTGTCTATCTTTATTCTATGTATATATTTAAAATCTAAACACAATTGCAGAAAAAAACTGAAGTACAAAATACTGTTAGTAATGGTCATACAAAACCAAAGAAACCAGAATGGAATATTGATAAAGAAATAAAACGGGAACTCGAAGACTCTGCTACTCAAAATATAGAAGAGTTTCAAACGCAAGAAATAGATTTCGATGATGATTTTAGCAACAATCCAACTCCAGTACCTCGTCCAGAAGTTAAGAAAGAAATAACCAGTACAGCTGACACTATAACTGATGTTGCAGAGGAGTTTTTAAATGAAGAATTCGAAATATTTCCAGTGGTTGATAAAGAACCACCAAAAGAATTAAAAACATTGTCTACTACCTGGACAGAGCAGTTCAATGAAAATCAAAATGTTCAATCAATCCAAACGGATGGACAATTACCTCTTCAGACAAATAGTAATGGTGAAAAAGTGTTTAAATTCTACTGGCTGGATGCCTGGGAAGATAGATTTGTTAAGCCTGGAGTTGTGTATCTATTTGGAAAGACCTATGTTGATCCATCTAATAAGCAAGCTGGTTGTGTATCATGCTGTTTGGTTGTGAAGAACGTAAACAGACAGTTATTTCTTTTACCAAGAGAATATGTAAGTCTTTTTTTAATTATGTCTTAGATTGTAATATTTATTTATACTTTTATAATTTATTATTAACCTGGCTTTCTAGTCTCTGTCGTGGATCGGCTCGGCTCGACCGGGGAAGGACCACGCTCTTACAGAATACCAGCGTAAAATAGTAGCTTAATGCTGCTGTGTTTCGTATGGTGAGTGTAGAGAACCGAAGACCTTTTTACTGGAAATAAGGCATTCCATCTTGGTTCTCACGGGTGACAACGCATCTGCATTTTGATTCGTAATCGAAGATAGATATAGATGTCTATGGGCCACAGCAACCACTTACCATCAGGTGGACTGTGTGCTCGTTTGTCACCCTGTCCTATAAAAAAAATACATCCAGCCAAGCACAGTTCATCACAAGTCCATTGCTGAACATAGGCCACTTTCTGTGCGTGATAAACTTCATAATGGATCATCATCATCATCATCACAGCCCTTCACAAGTCCACTGCTGAACATAGGCCTTCCCCAAGTAATGCCACAAAGCACGGTCCTGAGCCACCTGCATCCATCGACTTCCTGCATATCTTACCAGGTCGTCACTCCATCTAGTGGGGGGTCGCTCTACACTACTCCTACCGGTACGAGGCTGCCACTCGAGAACCTTTCTTCCCCATCGGTTATCGGTTCTTCGAGCTATATGGCCGGCCCATTGCCACTTCAGCTTACTAATCCGTTGTGCTATGTCGGTCACTCTGGTTCTACTGCGGATATCCTCATTTCTGAGTCTATCACGCAGAGAAACTCCTAGCATAGCCCTCTCCATAGCTCGTTGAGCGACCTTGAGCGTCCTCATACGGCCAGCAGTGAAGGACCACGTCTCTGATCCGTAAGTCATCACTGGCAACACGCACTGGTTGTACACTTTAGTTTTCAGAGATTGAGGTGTACCTGACGAGAAGATGTGTCGTAATTTCCCGAACGCTGCCCAGCCGAGTTGAATCCGTCGATTGACCTCTCGGTCGAAGTTCGACTTACCTAGTCGGACTATTTGTCCCAGGTAAACGTACTCGTCAACAACTTCGAGCATAGTGCTCCCAACAACTACCAGCATAGGTGTGACATGGACATTAAACATGATCTTTGTTTTGTCCATGTTCATCTTAAGACCTATCCGTTGGGAGGCACTATTGAGGTCATTGAGCATAGTGCTTAAGTCCTCCAGCGATTCTGCCATAAGGACTATATCGTCGGCAAATCGAAGGTGAGTGATGTCCTCGCCATTGATGTTAATACCGTATCCTTTCCAGTCCAGTAGCTTGAAAACGTCTTCCAAAGCAGCGGTGAAGAGTTTCGGGGATATAACGTCAACCTGTCTTACACCTCTCTGCAGTTGGATAGGTTTCGAGCTCTGGTTCTGTACTCGGATAGCCATCGTAGCCCTACTGTACAAACACTTCAGCACTTCGATATACCGACAGTCTACTTGGCACCGCTGAAGGGACTGCAGCACCGCCCAAATTTCGACGGAATCAAAGGCTTTCTCATAGTCCACATACGCCAGGCAAAGTGGCAAATTGTACTCTTCAGTCTTCTGTACAATCTGCCGCAGGGTATGTATGTGGTCTATGGTACTGAAGCCTTTTCGGAAACCGGCTTGTTCGGGAGGCTGGAAGTCGTCGAGTCTGCGTGCGAGACGATTCGTAATGACTCTCGAAAACAGCACGTAGACGCGGCTCAGAAGGGAAATGGGTCTGTAGTTCTTCAAGAGAGCGTTGTCGCCTTTCTTAAAGAACAAGACCACCGCACTTCTGCTCCACGCCTCTGGAGTAGTGCCACCATGGAGGACGGATTTGAAGAGCTTCTGAAGGACTTCAAGTACCGGTGTTCCACCCGCTTTCAGAAGCTCCGCTGTAATTCCATCCTCGCCTGGGGCCCTGCCGTTTTTAAGGTGCTGGAGAGCCATTCTAATCTCGCTTAGACTGACGTCCGGGATATCATCGGAATAGTGTCGTATAAGACTTGCTCTTGGATCGTTACTCACACTTGCGTGTGGCTCCAACGATGATGTGTACAGCTGCCCATAGAACCTCTCAATCTCACTCAAAATCTCAGGTGTCCCGGAAACGATGCTGGCACACTCAGTCTTCAGCCTTGACAGTTGGCTCTTACGGGCAGACAGATCTCTGGCAAAGACTTTGTAGCCCTGGTTCCGCTCGATCGCTTCTTTAATACGAGCAGTATTAAAGTTGCGTAAGTCTCGCCGCATGCATTTGGAGATCTGTCTGTTCAGTTGCCTGTATGCTGTCAAATCTGTTGACGATTGCAGCCTCATCTTCCGTCTAACAGCCATGAGATTAAGAGTGTGATCGGAGAGTTTTTGTGTTCTTCTGCGGCGGGTCTTGCAGAACTTAGCTCCGACCGCATGGACAGTTTCCACGAGCTTGTCATTCATATCGTCCACTGCATTGCAATCTTGTAGGCACTGAAAGCGGTTGTGTAACTCGAGCTGAAAGTTTTCGGGATTCTGGATTAGAGCACGAGGGGGACGGAGCGTTGACTTCATTAGACGAGACCTCTCCAACTTAACGTTTAGGTTCAGTGTGCCTCTAACCATTCGGTGATCGCTGCCAGTTTTCACCCTTGCGATCACTGAGACATCACTGAACAGTTGGCGTCTGGTCGTCATAATGAAGTCAATCTCATTTTTTGTCGAACCGTCGGGGCTCGACCAGGTCCACTTCCTGTGGGGCCGCTTCTGGAAGAAAGAGTTCATCATAAAGAGTCCATCTTTCTCTATAAAGTCGGCCAGCTGCTGGCCCCTTCGGTTCCGTTGCCCTACTCCAAATTTCCCTAACTTCAGCTCACCGTTTTCTCTTGTGCCTAGTTTTGCGTTGAAGTCTCCCATCAACACCGTGTAGTGGGTTGTTGACGAGAGACTTGTGGACGATAAATCCGACACCTCTTTGGGACAGATGGTCGCCCTTCCGGTGATAGAACAAGTTGCCGGATTCGAGAATCACCGTGTCCTCCCCCTCTCTTCGGACCTCGGATAATCCTATAATACTCCAGCGCAACTTGTCTATTTCTTCTTCCAGCTCCAGGATCTTCTCGTCAGTCCTCAGTGTGCGTGCGTTAAATGTTGCCAGGTCGAGTCGTCGTAGGTGGCAACCGAACCTCCACCGGAGATTCTTAGCACCCCCTGCCCCGCCGTTACCATGGTCGCCACCGTCGTCGTCGCCATGGTCGTCATAATGGATGTCTGTGTATAAATGAAATGGCAATGGGTCATCCATTAAAAAAATCCATAATAATTCATTACATAAAAAATAACTTGTAGACATAATATAACTGATCAGAAAAGTCTCGAGTGACAGCCTCATATTAGTATGCGAAGTCTAGTGGTCACTAAATTTTTGGAGTCGCCTTACACTTCGCTTACCAATTTAAATAAGTATGACCTGGTAAGAGATACAGAAAGTGAATGGCTTAGGACCGTGCATTGTGACATTTGCTTAGAGGAAACCTGTGTTTAACACAACATAAATACATCTCATATGTGGTACAGCCATGTTGCCTTTATATTAGTAGTATAGTTGAAGCACTATTGGGTCGACTCCACGGGGAAGGACCACGCTCTCACAGAATACCAGCGTAAAATAGCAGCTTAATGCTGCTGTGTTTCATTTGGTGAGTGTAGAAAATCGAGACTCTTTTTACTGGAAACGAGGCATTCCATCTTAGTCCTCACAGGTGACAACGCATCTGCATTTTGATTCATAATTGAGGATACATGTAGATGTCTATGGGCCACAGCAACCACTTACCATCAGGTGGACTGTGCTCGTTTGTCACCCTATCCTATAAAAAAAACAATATGTTTTTTCAAACGAGCACACAATCCACCTGATAGTAAGTGTATGGTGTAAAGGACTAAAATGTTTATTTACCATTCTCTACACTCACCAAGTGCAAACGCAGCAGCATTTTGATACCTTTTTACACTGTTGTTCTGTGAGAGTGTTGTTGGTCCCTGGTTGAAACAACCCGTTTATGAGCACCATCACAGATCGAACAGGGTTTTTTTTACATATTGTGTAGTGCTATTTTACCTATTTAAATTTTGTGTTATAGAAATTAGATCCGGTGACATTGGAACCTACAGATCAAGAGGTAACAATGATGGATATGTATCAGGAGTTTAACGAAACAGTTGCAGGTGAATTAGGTCTTAAAGAATTTAAGTCACGCAAAGTAACAAAAAGTTATTGTTTCAACCTTCCCGATATACCAGCGCAGTGTGACTATTTAGAAGTTAAATATTCCGTAAGTAACAATTAATTATTTCTTATATTTATATACTCACGTACTCGCCGAACTAGAAACACATCGTGTTTGAGAAATAAAATATTTTGAAGTTAGAGTTTGCTAACGCACCGGAGTAAAAAAAAAGTTAAGTAACGGTCTTTATACGTCTCACTGCTGGGCACGGGCCTGTTCTTATTTTTGAGAAAGTTTTAAAGCAAGGCAATGTTCGCCGCGCTGCTCCAATGCGGCGAACATTGCCTAGGTGATACTTCACGTCTTTAAAAATGTTTTTTGTTCTTATTTCTCAGACATGCAGGTTTCCTCACGATGTTTTTCTTCACCGCCGAGCACGTGGTAAATCAGCACACACACGCACTGAAGTAGCCTGACGGAATAATTGCTCAATAACTATCATTTCCGAGAGGGTAATGGAGAGTGTTTGCTGCTGCTGTAGACTGTGACTTTACTTACTTTACTATATTTTATATCTACTATATATTGCATTGTCATTTTAGAAGTTTAATTGTGTTTACCTCAACTTATTCCGACATTTCCCATGGTACCATTAAGTGAAGATGTTGTAAAGCACATGTCTTGAATGGCATTATTTTAAGTCTAGTTTGACATCGTCGAAAAAACATCAATATGTAATATGTTTATAAATTAGTTTAAAAGCGGCTTTTTGGCGCAGTGGCTTAGCATGCAATTGCAGCGCTGAGGCCCGCGGATTCGAATCAATTACGGAACTAGTATTTGTAAGGCCTACAAATGTTCTGAGTCTGGATTTTCGTCTTTTTGCAATTTATATGAACTACCTTCATGATACAGGAAAAAATCCTAATGTCCTAAAATTCTAATATTTTTAAGAGAATTTAACAACAAAAAGAATTGGTGGATCCTGCAGGCCATTCCTGGAACTTCCCGCTAATTTCAAACGAAAAGCGCTCCAAATTGCACCAAATTGTTGCGAAATATCGAAGTTATGTTAAAAAAAAACTTTTTTTTTAATTCTTTCTCCTTCGATATCTCACGAACGAATAAACTGATATTTATTTTTCAAACGGCATTCGACGTCATTTTTTGAGGTTAAAAGCTAATTAGGTTTTGAAATCGATTGGTAAAGATGTTTATTCCAAAAAAAACAGTTTTTCAAAATTTGAGATTTCTCAAAATCTACTTGTCCGAATTAGTTCACATTATCACCAAATCTATTCCACATTTAGATCTTTAGAACACCGCAAATCGCATATCAATCGATCAAGACGTTCAAAAGATATGAAAAGTGTACATACTTACACACACATACCTACATACATCCGTATGGACATCCACGTGAAATTCGTCAGGATAGCTTCCTGGAACCTCAAAACATCGAGATCTGATGAAAACTCGATTTTCGAAAATCGGGGTGAAACCAATAACTTCCCTATTTTTGAAAATTTTCAATTTTCTTAGTAGGAAGTTAAAAATGTTACATAAAGTAAAAAAACCTAAGGTATTTGAAAACTTTACATGGCTATTCATTACTTATATTTAGAATTTTAATATTAATGTGAGAAATAATAGTTATTTAATATTTTTAGGCGACATTCCCTCCACCATCCACAAGTAAAAAGGGCTTAACTTACTCTCATATATTCGGCATCAACACATCTTCACTGGAAACTTTCTTGTTGGAAAGAAAAATCAAAGGTCCTTGCTGGCTTGAAGTAAAGCAGCCAGAGAATGTACAAGCGAAAGTGTCATGGTGCAAACTAGAAGCAGCTTGTGAAAAAATGGAATACATCAATGTTATAAGGGATGACAAGGATTTGGAACCCCCACCAATTGTTGTTGCAACTGTAAGTAGTTATTATAATTTTTTTTTATAGGATAGGGTGACAAACGAGCACACAGTCCACATGAAGGTAAGTGGTTGCTGTGGCCCATAGACATCTACATCTAACCTCGATTACGAATCAAAATGCAGATGCGTTGTCACCCGTGAGGACTAAGATGGAATGCCTCGTTTCCAGTAAAAAGGATCTCAAGTTCTCTACACTCACCATATGAAACACAGCAGCATTAAGCTACTATTTGACGCTGGTATTTGACCGATCCATTCGTGCTACAACTATACTACTAATACAACTGCAGCATGGCTCTACCATGTATAAAAATACACCGTATCCATATACCACGTATAATAATAATACCGTAGCATAGGTTGTTGTATCAACACAGGTCAGTATGCCTCATAATTTTCTTTAAAACTCTTGATTGAGTTTATACTCAGATGTGAAGGATGTCGACCACAGAGTCACCTTCTGCGAGTAGGTGACAGATCACATCATATAACATGAGAGTGATTCGTAGTCGAAAAACCATTGATTGATTAAAAATGTATATTTTTGGCCGGTATTAATGCATGTTGACCTGCTTCGTAGATCTAACGCTCGTAAATACGACTGCTGCTCATGAGGTCATTTTTTGGGAGCCTACAACTATATTATAGTTGTAGCACGAATTTGTAGGCTCGACCGGGGCAGGACCACGCTCTCACAGAATACCAGCGTAGAATAGCAGCGTAATGCGGCTGTGTTTCGTATGGTGAGTGTAGAGAACCAGAGACCCTTTTTACTGAAATCGAGGCATTCCATCTTAGTCCTCAGGAGTGACAACGCATTTGAATTTTGATTGTTAATCGAGGATAAATGTGGATGTCTATGGGCCACAGCATACTCTTACCATCAGGTCGACCGTGTGCTTGTTTGTCACCTAATGCTAAAAGGTCCCGAATAAAAATACTGCAGTTGCCAACCCGCATGCAAAGCGTGGTAACTATGGCAAATATTTTTACTATAAGGCAAAGCCTATGCTAGCAGTGGACTTTTGATAGCCTGTTATGGTAACCATAACATTTTGTAACTTAAGGATATTAACATATAAAAAAGATTTATATAGATACATTTACACAATACTATACAAACTTCATGGAGCTCAAGAGGGTCACAGTTTCAAAATGAAGCACACAATGACATACACAATCGCATCGCACTGGTACTCCTCGGCACTTTAAATTGCAGCTTCATAAGATAAAACCTTTTTTTTATTCATGTGTCAACTTTATTTTGCATCTTATCACATAGCACAAATCACTTAAGTGCCAGTTACACTTATTTTTGGTATATGCAAAAAATAATTAAAAAAAATATATTTCTATTGCCAGCTTAATTTCAATTAATTCCAGATTCATACGAGAACTGTTATGGATCACAAAACGAACAAAACGAAAATATTAATGCTTAGCTGCTTAGTGCATAACGGCTTTCCTATTCATAAGCCTCCACCAAACCCTCCTTTTCATCAGCACTTCTGCGGTAAGAATTGATCTAAGAATTTGTTCTGTCCTTGCAATTCGTTTTTCTGTTAAAGCCTTTTAATGAAATCTTTATACTACTATTTCAGTTATGACAAAGTGCAATGATCTTTGGCCATTGGATCTAAAGCAAAATTTACCGCAATACAAAATTACGAAACTTACAAAATGCGACACAGAAAGGGAACTGCTGAATTACTTTATGGTGCAGTTTTGGAAGCTAGATCCAGATCTTGTTGTTGGACACGACATGCAAGGGTTTCAACAGGACCTGCTCATGGGGAACATTTTAGATCTGCGCATACCTAATTGGTCACGACTGGGGCGGCTCAAGCGATCAGTTGCCCCGCAAAAGAAATTTGCAACAAAGGACGCGTTTCTCGGAAGATTGGTCTGTGACATTAAACTTTCAGCAATGGAACTAATTCGCTCGAGGAGTTTCGATCTGGATACACTATGTGTCAGTGTCCTGAAAATGAAAGAAGGCGACCGAGTGGAAATAGCACTTGAAGATATACCACGGTACTACGAAACCAGCAGAGATTTATTACAACTGGTGACCTTAAATATGCATGATGCATCATACATTCTCAAAATAATGTGCGAACTGAACGTAATACCTCTTGCGTTGCAAATCACTCAGATCGCAGGTAACATCATGTCTCGCACTTTAATGGGCGGCAGATCGGAAAGAAACGAATTCCTATTACTTCACGCTTTCACCGAGAAAGGTTTTATTGTGCCAGATAAAGTATACGGTAAAAGAGCGGTAGCTGACGATGGCGACAACGATGAACACGATGAGAATGTGTCCAAGAAGCAAGGCAAGAAGAAAGCTGCTTATTCAGGCGGTCTCGTGTTAGACCCCAAAAAAGGTTTTTATGACAAACTAGTTCTTCTCATGGATTTCAATTCCTTATACCCGAGTATTATTCAAGAATATAACATCTGTTTTACGACTATTAAAAGAAAGAATGCCGCCGCGTCCGATGATGATTTAAACAATCTTATCCTGCCTGGTCCTAATGCGGAGTTTGGTGTGCTGCCGACACAAATTAGAAAACTAGTTGAGAGTAGGCGAGAAGTCAAGAAATTGATGAAGTCGCCCGATTTACTACCTGACCAATATATGCAGTACAATATTAGACAAACTGCATTAAAGCTCACAGCAAATTCAATGTATGGGTGTCTCGGTTTCACCCATTCTAGGTTTTATGCTAAGCCGCTGGCGGCGTTAGTTACTATGAAAGGGAGAGAAATTCTAATGGACACCAAAGAAATCGTCCAAAAGTTGAACTACGAAGTTGTGTATGGTGATACTGACAGTCTCATGATAAACACTAACTGTCTCGATTATGATTACGTGTTCAAAATCGGTAATGATCTAAAAAGGGAAATTAACAAAAAGTACAAACAAATAGAACTCGATATTGATGGAGTCTTCAAATATTTGCTTTTGCTGAAAAAGAAAAAATATGCCGCTGTTGTCATCAGTAAAAATAAAAATGGAGAATTCGTTTTAACTCAGGAACACAAAGGTTTGGATATTGTGCGTCGCGATTGGTCACAGTTAGCGGCTGAGGCAGGCAAATTTATATTAAGTCAAATACTATCCGAACAATCTGCTGATGACAGATTGGAGAATATACAAATGCATCTGAATAAGCTGAGAGAAGATTTAGTCGGCAACAAAATTCCGTTGTCACTATTAACTATAACAAAACAACTGACGAAAAATCCCAACGAATATCCCGATAAAAATTCGCAGCCGCATGTTCAGGTCGCTTTGCGGCTTAACAGCAAAAACAGCAGACGCTTCAAAAAGGGAGATATAGTGCCGTATATAATTTGTGAAGACGGCACAGCCAATTCGGCTACGCAGAGGGCTTATCATATTGAAGAATTAAAAAATTCTGAACATTTAAAAGTCGATTACAAATATTATTTAGCACATCAGCTACATCCAGTGATATCTCGTATATGCGAACCTATTGAAGGAATGGACCCGGCTCGCGTCGCTGACTGCCTTGGCTTAGACCCTTCGGGCTACAGACAAATTATTAGGAAAGACAACACCAACTCAGATACATACGAAGTTGAAAATGAACAAGAAAAATATAGATATTGTAAAGAATTCACGTTTGTCTGCATAAATGAAAACTGTAAGACTGATAATAAAATACGAGAAACGTGTTTGAAAGTAGATAAAGATAGTGTCACATTTTTAGAAAAATGTCAAAATGATAAATGTACTTTGAAGCCAGTGGATTATTTGGCGTGTATTCAGAATCAGTTGGCTTTACAAATAAGACAATATCACGCTCAATATTATGCTGGTTGGATATCCTGTGAGGATCCTGCTTGTGGTTACCGCACTGCGAGGTTACCGCAAACATTTGCAGGGGGATATCCACTGTGTAGGCAGTGCGAGAAAGGAGTCATGTTTAGGGAATATACTGAAAAAGACTTGTATTTACAGGTCAACTTCTTTTTGTACCTGTTCGATCTTAGTAAACACACTACAGCAAGTAAGTATTTATCACCAAGAACTTATCGTCAATTTTACCCTAAATTGTTGCTGTTTTATGGTTAGATTGATATATTATTATTTCCAAAAAAGAAGGAGACTTTCAATTCGACTGTATGTTTATTTTTTGTATATAACGCAGTATCTTAACCAATTTCGAACGCATTTTGATCATTATTTTTAATGAATAATCTACCTTATGGGAATAAAATATCTAAATATAAAAAAAATCTAACCCTAAAAGTGAAAAATAAGGGTTTAAGTTTTTAATGTAAATATTTAGGTAGTTGACTATTTATATATTGTAGTTGTTATCTTGACCTTATGGTATTGCTCACACCATTATAATAAAAAGTAAAAACTACCTCAAAAACTATAAAGAATGAAATAATTCACACTTCATAATTTAATACGTAGGACACTCAATAAGTTTAGAGATATACAAAAAGTATTCTAGATACTATTAATATTTATTTTACGTCTTTTCAAAATATTCTCATCATGCTTTATACAAAGTTCCACTCGCCTAAACCAACTCTGAAAACACTTTTGCCAGTCTTGACCTGACAGGTCGGAAATTGCTTCTTCGTAGGCGCAGACGCGGCTTCTTCGGCGCTTGAAAAAAGCTTGCTTTTTATTTTTTCTTTGACTCTTAGGAACAAAAAAAATCACAAAGAGCTAAGTCAGGGCTGTAGGGTGGGTTACTTAGATTTTCAACACCAGATTCCTCAATAAATGTTTTTGTTCTAAGGGAGGTATGTGAAGAGGCGTTATCGTGATGCAGCATGATTCCCCGAAACCCGGTCTTTGGTCTTCTCTCCCGCACAGCTTGAAAAGCTTTGGATAATGCAACTGTAGTATACCATACAGATATTTGACAGACCTACAATTTTCCAGCATTGACGTCGACAAATATCCGCTCCGCGAAAAAAAACTAGCCACCATTTTTTGCCGACGTTGCGAGGTCTTTACTGTTTTGTCGGTAACTGTCCTGAGTAGACCCATATCAATGATTGCCTTTTATTTTCCGGATCTTATTGCTAGATCCATGTCTCGTGACCAGTAACGATTTCTGAAACACGCCTAGATGCCCCGTTTTCAAAACGTACACGCATTTTATGATACAAATCCACACGAGTCTGTTTTTCCTTTCGGGCAGCAAACGAGGGATACATCGACAATAAAGCTTCCTCACTCCAAGATGTTGATGTACGATGGTATGAATGCTCCCCGAACTAATGCCTACAATCTTTTCGATGTATAGAATGTTTCCGTATATGTGATTCGTGTGTCTTCTCGCATCAACATTTCAGTAACCCATACATTTTCTACCGTTACTGCTGTTTGCGGGGTTTTTTGGTCATCTTTAAGGTTAATTTTTTAGAATTCAGAAAACTGCCTAAAATGTTGCGCGTGATGGAGCTGTCTCCTAATGCTGATTGTAAACGTTGTAAACTTTATTATTCGGTTAAACCAAATTTAAAATCATAATAAATCATAGCGCGCAAATGTTCATGGTTAAGATCCATCGTTTTAAATGAAAAGCGCGGGAAGCGTTGCAGGAAAATTAATGAATTTTTTTTTTTATATTGAGCAATTGGCTTATAGAATCCTATTTTTAAATATATTTGCTTTTTAGAAACATATAACACGAATGCGTTCCATTTTTAAATTTCGAGCATATCAAAACTTATTGAGTGACCTATGTAGATTTTGTATGAAACAGTACTGTGAAGTCTACTTGCTTTGCTTTTTATTAAATGTAATTTTCAAACTGCTTCTCCTTCACTACATTTTCACTTACTTTTACAGAGCAAAGAACAACTTCCCAAATAACATCAGCATTTCAAGTATTAAAAGAGGCTGTAGAAGATTATTTGGCGCATTCCGCATATTCTATTATTAACTTATCAAAGTTGTTCCGCTTCTTTACTGTGGATAACAAGGATGGAAATGGTTTGAAGTCTGAGCCAGTTGAAATAGACATTTTACCTGAAACTGAACACATTGATGCATTGATGGAAATGGGAGCATATTAACTATTATTCTTATGGAGTTTTTGGAAACCTTTTCATGTTGTACAAAATCATGGATATTGTAATTACTTGTTGTAAATATAGTAACATTTTATTTTATTGATAATAAACTAAGTGTCTAAATCTTAAAATGTATATAACCATAATTTATTTATTGATTTAAACATAACTTGTTTTATAAATTAATGTAAAATATCACACAAGACAGGGGAGAGATTATTTTATCAACGAGAAGGGACCAACGTCATCATGGTTGTAATAATAGTGTATACCTATAGTGTCTATCAATGGGCAAGAGGGCGAATAGCGTAGGGTTTGACGTAGGAGGTAAAGTTGATCTTCTGTCTGCTACCCCCATGGCGATAGGATATCCAGGAGTATAGCCTCTCCCAAAAAAATGGTAATTCATAACATTAGCGGAATGGCGAATTCAATCGTATACAAGTTTCAACAGGTTCCTTTGCATCAAAACAGTAGAGTTGGGAGATCACGACCCCTTTTAATTTGGATTGCGTGAAAATATTATACAGGACAAATAGTCCGACTATTACAGGACAAATGGTCCGACTAGATAAGTCCAACTTCGACCGAGAGATCAATCAATAGCTTCAACTCTGCTGGGCAACGGTTGGGAAATTACGACACATCTTGTCAGGTATACCTCAAAACCTGAAAACTAAATTGAACAGCCAGTGTGTGTTGCTACTGGCAACTTTCCAGTGATGACTTATGAATCTGATATGTGGTCCTTCACTGCTGACCGTATGAGGACGCTAAAGGTCGCTCAGCAAGCTAAAGAGAGGGCTATGCTCGGGATTTTTCTGCGTAGTAAACTTTGAAATGAGGATATCCGCAGTAGAACCAGAGTGACCGACATAGCCCAACGGATTAGTGACCTGAAGTGGCAATGGGCCGGCCATATAGCTCAAAAAACTGACCGCCGATAGGGAAAAACGGTGTTCGAGTGGCAGCCAGGTATCTGTAGGCGTAGTGTAGGGCGACTCCCACTAGATGGAGTGACAACTTGGTTAGACATGCAGGAAGTCGATGGATGTAGGTGGGTCAGGACCGTACTTTATGGCATTCCTTGGAGAAGGCCTATGTTCAGCCAGCTGAACTTGTGAAGGGCTGTAATGAAATGATAATGATAATATTATGCGCGAGGCCTAAAGTATGGGGCGATAGATTACATCATATTATAGGGGGCCTGATATGCTGATTGTGATTCTGCCGTTCGCTAGCTTTTGAACGCCAAAGTCGCCTATACTTGACCAACACCTGCGGGCCCTGAGCGCCAACGACGTCTATAGTTGACAAAAAACCCGGCCCACAAAAATATGAAAAATATATATTGGAAAATTATTACTGGTATTTTAATTCTACACCCCTCAAAAAATAATAACCCAACAACATGCGAGTATAAAAAACAAGTCTCCTAGAGCCACAAGTACTAAGAAACATTGAACTAAAAAAAATGGATTTTTATCTAAGCAAATACTATGTCCAGCACGCCAAAGTCGGTCTATTGGTCGTCTATGTTAAGCTTTGGTCTCTTGATCGTAACGCACAACTCTGCGATATGCGGCTCAAACGCAGTGTCACGACGCAGCGTTTAGCGTCTCTGCGGAGAAGAGGTCAGTTGATTTTGCCGCAACTACCAAAGCAGGCGTGTCAACATGAACAATATTTTAGAAATTTGTGCTTTACTTGAAGAAGGAGGAGGAAGAAAAATTTCTACTGCTTATGAAAAGACAAAGTAGCAGTCCGAGAAACATGTGTTTACAATGGAGGAGTGAAGGTTGTTACAAAACTTTAATAAAAAGGCATTTAAATGATTGTGAAAAAAAGTTCATGGGTTACTTTCGGAAGGGAGATCTTTGACAAGATTTTAATGACCCTAAAAGATGATATTACTGACACACTGCCTAGAACCAGAAAACGGAATCTTGCTATTACTGCATAAGAAAAATTATTTTTAACGTTAAGGTAAGTTTAATTTATTTATTTATTTAAGTAAAACAATTTACAAGAATATTATTTTATTTAATAACAAAAATAAATTAAATTCACAGGAAACTAGGGAAAATGAAAAAATATTATTGGTATGGAGAATATTATGGGGTTGGTGTGTCTCCTTGCGCCAAGATCGATAATTCCATTTCAGTAACGATGTTACAAACTTGTGTTCTGATTTGGGCGATTTTGTCTGGAGGGAATTGGCATACCACGTCGGCCATACTCCTAAAGAATGTGTGTACTGGAGTATTGTTTTGTTCCGAAATTTGTCTCAACATCTTTGTTCTTTCTTCTCTATTTTTTCTAAACTTTTTGACAAGGCTGTCTCTCTTCTTATTTTTTACTTGTGATGTACCTTGAGATTGTGGTGTGACTGAATTTCCTTCTAGCGATGGTTGTTGTAAACAAGATTTAAACGATGACATCTGCATTAAAGAACTTGATAGTACTGAACATTTCTCATTTAAACTAGAAATACAGCCCCTTTCTTCAACACTGTCATTTATGAATTTTAATCTTTCGTCGTCATATTTTGAAACAGAAGCAGCGCTTCCGGTTTTCTTTTTGTTCTGATTTTTTCTATAATTGTCACGTAAATTACGCCATTTATTTTTACATTCTTTAGCTGAAACAATAACATTGTTAGTTAATATAGAACTACTATCTTAGTAGAGTCTGTTTCAGTTCAATGTTTTGTGGAGGTAAACAGATAGAATGTAAATAGAAATATTTTTCAAAGTGGAAAAATCGGATTTAGTGAGATGTGGATTCATAATTGATAATTCAACATTCTGTTTACCTCCACGGAACATTGAACTGAAACAAACTACCTATGTATTGTTACGAGCTTGAGGTTCGTGACAATAAAAATTGCCGATAGAATTACCTAAATTAAAATTTTCTTAAAAATTAAACTTAAAACACCAATAATTAATCACACTGATTCACTTTATTTCGCTCCGAAGCTTCGCTTGTCTCGCCAAATTCAATACTTCCCCGATCGCACCTTGCAGCGCCTATAAATACACATTAGTACCGAAACATCCAGAACATTCAAGTAAATACGCGCACCAATCGACAAACGCCGAAAGTTTACGACTCCAGCTTCTATTTTTACAACAGATGGCGCTGTCGGTTGAAAGATTAGTGATGTCATTTTCTGGAAAGCTCTCTCCTCGTTTTGTTACCCGACACTAGATGGCGCTAGTGCCAGATGTCAACTTAGCCGCGCAACAGTATGTTTGTCCCTTTACTAAGTACTATATAAAATTTTTACAGGTTTTTGGCGACTGGAGAAAGCTATAGATCTTTAAGTTTACAATTTCGAATTAGCCATAACTGTATATGCAGAATTGTGCCTAAAGTCTTACGAAGGGTATGCAAAAGATTTGTAAACGTTGCACTACCAGAACCCACCATAGAAAATTTCGGAATAACTGAAGAATATTGGTACCTTGGAATTTCTCAAATTGTATCGGGGCAATAGATGGAAAGCATATAAAATTGTATTAATGTACGCATCATGTGCTCAAATTACAGCGGGTCCTTATATTTTAATTATAAGATATTTTTTTTTCTGTCTTGCTATGGTCGATGCGAATCGAAAATTTATAACAATATATATTATTTCTTATGGCAAAGAAGGCGACTCAAGTATATTTATGAAATCCAATTTATTCGAGAAAATTAAAAATGAGCAGCTAAAGTTTCTCCTGCCAACGATATTACCGGATGGTGACAAAAAATGCCTTATGTTTTCGTAGGTGATGATACATAAAGTCTCACTAATAATATGATGAAACCATACTTAAAAAACCATCCATCTCAAGATAGGCCAAAACGAACTTTTAACTACCGTCTGAGTAGTAGAGTAAGAAGAACATCCGAAAATGCTTTTGGGATATTACGTCAACGCTTTAAAAAAATTTACCTATTGCAGTAAACCTTCGTGTCGTATACAAGTTGTTTATGTCAGCCTGTATCATCCATAATATGACGGGTTCTTTGGTTATCACAAGGTTCCAACTGTAATACCCTACAAATACCCACTAAGCATGGGCGTTTTCAGTTTTTATCTGCAACGGTTACATAACCGATATCTAGTTTTCATATCGTTATTGAAAACTGTTTTCAGATATCGATATCAATAGTAATGGTTTGCTACTGAATGTGCAAACGACAACCGAACCATAACCGCAAACTGTACTACCAGTCCAACATGTATTTTATGAATTACATAGATTATTCTAGATTAGAAGTCAGAGGTTCTAATGTAATTGTTATCTTAGATGTAATATTTAAACATGTATGTTAATATATAATTTTTGTATATTCAATGTTATGCAGTAATAAATTATACCGTCACTGTGACAGCTTATTAAAGTACACTGCTAAACACATAGGCCTCCTTATAGATTGTATCATAGGTGGGATATTTGCCATAGTTGTCACCCTTGGCAAGCGGGTTGGCAACCACAGTTTTTTTTGAAGTGAAACTTTTTACCTGAGGGCTTTGATTGAAACGCTGATCCGCAACCTTTTTGTATGATGAAAAGTGGTGGGTGTAAATACTACGTACGTACCGGGCATTCGGTCGATCATGCAAGTCGCAAACACAGGGCATTACATACCATAAAGTATATAGTACTACAATTACAACATTACAACGGTCTTTTGTTCGAATACTAATCTTATATTAATTTTATTTAAGACAGTTACCAAGATACACATATTTATTTTATGATCTCTGATTTGTTTCCTTATGTCGCCTTTTACGACACCCACGGGATGATAATCGGGTAGTAAATAAAATTACGTTCATTCTATCCTTATTTATTTATATAATTTTGTTACCCATTTTTTTTTTCAAATTGAGACAATAGGATCATTGTATACAGATAACATAATTTATAAACATTTATAGAAAATTATTTTAGTTAGTATATTTATTAACAATTATTTAAGTTGGCGATTTTCCTTCATGCTTA